CTCTTTTGGGGAGAGCTGAAATTAAACCTGCTGCCAAAGCCTCGTGTGGGTGCGAGTACCGCTCATGGTTTTTACGCGCCTGAACAGACCCCAAAACCTTCTCGCAAAAGAGGCACTTTTTGTTAGCGTCACCCGGCCCCCGACACAGCGGCCTATGTTGTCCGATATCAGTGGGCCTAAAGTCCGCCAAGCATTTGTCACACTGCGTGCGGGTCGGCGCCGCCCGGCGTTTGGCCCCTGGCGGCGGCGGCGCCGGGACCGCTCCCAAAGGGCCCGGAGGCACTGTGCTCCACGCACCGCAATGTGGAGAGACCCGACCCGCCGCTCCGCGGGCAGCAAGCCGGTCCGCAACCTCATTTCCGGGCGCACCGCTGTGGCCCTTGACGTGGTGGAATTCCAAAGAGATCAGCCTCCGGACTCGATTGACCAGATCGGCCACGGTGTCTGCCAGGCTGTGATTCTCCGTGGGGTGAATCAACCTTGTTGCGACGCCAAAGGCGTAAGTACTATCATAAAACAGATGTGCTGCGCGTAGGTTCTGGGGCCGGGGTGCCTCCATCGTGTTCAAGAGCCAGCGGCAGGCTTCCCCAATAGCCGACAGTTCTGCCGTATTGTTGGTGTGCACGGTGGCCATAAGGGGTCGAAGCTCTGAACTAGCACTGGGCCATACAGGGCGGCAACCCAGGCCTCCTCGATCGTTGGGAATCGGCACTCGTAAATGCCTACCCCCCAGCCGGCCACCGAACCGTCCCCGCCCGAGCCATCTGTATACATGGATATCTCCGACGTCCGCCGAATGACGTCCCATCTTACCGGCCCCGAAACCGCCTCCTCCTGGTCCAGACTGTCCAGCCGAGCGAGGCGGGCCCGGGCTGGACATACGTGCGTCTTCTGCTGCGCTCGCCGTCGAAAAGATTGCCCACATTCCTCACAGCGGAACACCTGGGTTGTGACCAACTCGGGATCACACACTGCGTGGGATTCCTCATAGTGGAAAGTCAACTGGTTGGCCTTGTTAAAGGTCTGTTGGCAGACGGGACATTCCCAGTTGCCGGCCGCATTCCGCTCTACCCGAGTCGCTCTTGCGTTTTGCGGACCATGTCCATATTCTCGTCTCGCTCGACGTCGTGGACGTCCTCGCCGCACCTCTCCGAGATCCGCATCGCTACCCGCAGCGCTGTCGCCCTCTGCTGATTCCGAATCTCGCCGGGCGAAAGCCGGAATTGGTCGGCCTGGCTTCCACGCATCCAAGGCCTGCTCACACTCCGGACGGACGCGCGTTGGGGGGAACGCCGTGTGCACTCGCTGCCTCCATTCCGTCCGCCGCTGCGCCAGGCGGAACCAGTCGATTTGCGGAATTCCAGCCTGTTTTAAGCACGAGTTGATCCATTGCGCCTGCCGCGGTGGGGCGTGAGGCTTGGCCTTAGCCTCCGTAAGCCACCCAAACACCGCCGCCTTCTGCGGCGCATCCACCTGCATACGGGCTACGTGGCCCACCCATATCAAGGTCAATCGCCGCACCTGTCTTTCGAAGCTCTCCCACTGCGCTAGATTTTGTAGGACCTTGTTGCTCAGACCGTACTGCCTCACCAGGCCCAGGCGAACCCCAATGCAGCGGCGTATGGCCATGTGCACCGTCTTCTGCACCCGGGACAATTGATTCATTTGCCAGGCCCGAGTTTTAGCAAAGCTGTACAAGATTCCCTGCACGACTGCCTTCATGACGCGAATGCGGACCGAGAGCTTTATCCGGGACCGGTTGCGGTGTGCCCCCGGCCCCCTGGCCCAGGCGCCAGCCACCCAGCTGATTCTGCCAACTGCTTGCGCCACTCTGGCGCGAGTTTCCGCTGCATGATTGCCTCTGCATCCCAATATGGCCCCAACGTGCTTCACTTTCTCACATTCCCCCAGAAACGGGACGTCGTAAGCGGCCGCCGCGTCACTACAGATTCGCAGCCCCTCCGTTTTGCTCTCATTGACCTTGCCTGCGAAGTCCGACAGCGTTCCCGCGAAAATGCGTTCTGCCTCGCGCGCTTCCACGGCCTCCCCTAGAATGCCCGTGTCGTCGGCGTACGCGAAATCACCAAAAATACGCTGTCGCGTGTTCCTGCCCTCCTCCTGCCGATCCCCGCGCCTTTTTCCGATGCGACCGTCGACTTTGTACGTCCACGACACCCCCGGGGCTGCGTTTAGCCCCAAAGCGGCGCGCGCTCGTCGTGCGCGGAAGACTTCCATGATCCCGTGATGAAACACGTTAAACAGGATAGGGCTGGACGGGCAGCCCTCCCTGAGTCCACGCTCTGGCACAAAACCCGACGAAAGAGTGCCTTGGAACCTCACCTGACTGGACGTATGATTATGTATGGCCCGTAACACCCTCAAGAAGCCTTCTGGGCAGCCTTTGACGCTCAAGAGCCGCCACAGGCCGTGCCTGGGCACCTTCGGATAGGCTTTTTCCAGATCAAAAAATCTCATGAGGTACACCTGATCGTGCAACGATCCAGCTGCCTCCTCTAAGATCGCCCTGGTGATCTGCTGCACGTCATCGACTCCAGTCCCGCGCCTGAATCCAAACTGCATGGGGTTGAGCCAGGGCTGGCACCATCGCAGCAGTCGCGCCGCGCAAATGCGGGCAACCAACTTGGATCCTACCGACAAGAGTGTAATCCCTCGCCACGTGTTCTTGTCCTCCCGATTTCCTTTCCGCTTCCACAACGGTACGATTACCCCCTTCAACCATGTATCCGGCCACGCACTCGCCTCTGCGCCGTCTGCAGCACCACTGGCGCGTTGCCAGGCTGCCTGTACCACCCGAGATACCTCATCAAAGAGACATCTGCCACCGAACTTGAGATACTCCGCCATAAATTGGTCGAGCCCCGGCGCCCTGTCATGGTCCATATCATTGATGGCCCGGCGGATTTCCTCTGACGTAGGTAGGTCGTCCAGCCACGCAGCCGGCGGCCCCGTTGCCACATCCTGCCACACCCTTTCTTACTAACCTCAGCTGGAACGTCGCATTCCCCAGCAAATGCGAACACACCAGCCACATGCCATGCTTGACTTCTCAACTCAACCGCAGCATGTGTGACCATGGCTATCAATCACGACTGTCGTGAAAGTGACACAAAAAAGCTGATGATCTGCAGATTCTTGTTTTGGGCACCCCCTACTGTGGATTTTTACGAAATCCATTTCGCATTACATTTCAGAATCCCTGGAGCGAGTTGATTCCCCTGAAAATACCAACAAACAATGCTGATTCCCCTATAAATACCAACGCATAACGCTGATTCCCCTAAAAATGCCAATGAACAATGCTGATTCCCCTGTAAATACCACCAAACAAGTGCTGATTCCCCTGACAATACCAATAAACGTTGTGGGTGTCAACGGTTTCATTTCGTGGTGCGAGACGCGCGGAGTTCGCCGCCCTCGGTACTTGACACTGGACCGATCGCCAGGCCCACGAAGCCAAAACGGAGCCTCAGCCCAAGAAGCGGAGGATCGCGCCAAATCTGCAGACATTGGCCTTTTTGTTCTTCTTTTTTCGGGGGTCAGCCCGATGTTTTTTTTCTTTTTCCTTTTTTTTCTTCCGGTTTTCCTATAAACACGAAGCCGGGTCTGAAGATCTGATTTTGTCTGCACCCCTTCTTTTTTGCGGTGCAAGGTTGCAAGACAGATCAATTTTCCCTCACGTTGAACGGCCCAAGGTGAGCCACGTCCTCAAAACCCTGATTGTTTTTCTTTTTCGGGGACCAAAAAAGGGGCATGGTTCAAGGTGGCAGGTATGGGGTTTGGAGATATGGATGCAGATGTTTACCACATGGGTGACAATCAACATCCAGGTAGCTGCAGGGTAAGGGACAATCCCCCTTGTCAGACGTGGGCGCAGACTTCCGCCTTTTTCATTCTTGAAGCAATCGGTGCGTGGACCATTTTAATACGATCGGTTTTGATTGTCAGGTCCCTTTGGGTTTTTTGGTTCTGTTCATTTTGTGGTTTGGGGGGCTCTTGGCAAGTCGTTGTTTAATTGTTTGGTTCTGTTCAAACGCGTCGTTTGGCCTGTGTCTTGGTTGCGACTTTCAGAGACCCAAGGGATCCAGGAAAAGACACCAAGAAACAAAAACAAACATCTTGGATCTTCCCGGGTTGACCCGGCGAAGCTGCCCTGTTTTCGAGCGAAACCACGCGACACGCCTGTAGGATTAGGTCACTCCGCGGTTTTTGCCTCGGGTTCCCCGAAGCGAAGGGAAAGACAAACATGTCGGGCGTTTCCTTTGGAGGGTCCTTTGAAACCAAGCTCCCTTCATTATTGGAAAAACAACAAACACATTTCCGGTTGAGTCATGCAGACGTGGGCGTGAACTTAAAAGGAATGGGGACCCCCAAAAATGGCGGGTTTCTAATTTTGGTTTCCCTTTCAAGCAACCCCAACAAGGGTGCCATCGGAAGACGAATGCACGGATCAACCCCGCAAAACCGCAAAAACGCAACAGGAAGCGGAGACTTTCGGCAATCTCATGGTTGTTGTGACGGGACACATGTTGCCCATTTTTGCTTATCTTACCTCTTAAAAACACAACTTTTCAACTTTCTGGGGATAACATGGGCTATATGTCTGTAAAAGATTAACTTCCCCAGGGCTTGGAGTTTTAAGGGGTGTTTGAAATCCAACCACTTAGCTGCTAAGATTTGAGAATTCTTGCTCCCCTAACCCAACGTCAACCAAGCCTGAGACTCTCAGGTCCTGAGGAGCGCCGCCAGGAGGGGGCGGAGACGAGCGGAGAGAGAGCGGAGTCCCCAATTGAAATTCACATCCATATAGAAGGGGATTTTGAGGAGGGCTTTAATGGGCCCTGTTTTACGACTGTCTATGAATCCTTCAATCCTCACTTGCCCCTTCTGACCTTTTGTGTACCTTTATACGACTGAGTGCAAGAAATTCGATGAGAAGGTTGTGTGTGAAGCTTTCCTAGCAACGTCCGGCACGTGAGACTATGACTATAACCCATGGAGCGCGGACTTGGAACCAGGGCCTTGCTGGGTGCAGGGCGAAGCTAACCCTGCGGTTCTTCCCAGTGGGCAAACCCTTCTTTCAATCGCATGCGATGTGACGTCGCTGTCACAAGCGAGTTACCATGAGAACAGAGCTGCTAGGTCCCCCAGTAGTGCCCTTTTCTCCCCTTTGTTTGGGGGAGGGTTCCCCTACTAAAATTGACTACCGAAAAAATGTTGGTACCCTTATTCTAACCTCTCTTTCCTGGAGGACCTAGTTGCTGCTGATTCCCCTCTATCTGCCAACAACCAATGGGATTCTCCATGGTTTCAACCTGGTGTAGGATCCCTAGACTACCGGAAAAAAGTTAAAATCGACTGCAGAAAAGAAGGGTACCGACTTCAGCCTCCAACCTTTTACCCTTTTGTGGTTGGGAGGCTTCCCCTACTAAGATAGACGTCCTGAAAAAAGTTGGCACCAACCAGTTCAAACCTCGCTACTGGAGGACGGCTGGCAGGACTCCAGCCTCCGTCATGGCGCGCTGTCGTTGCGCTACAGCTCAACATCCATAGGTGTCCTTTTTGGTGGTTTTGGGCGAAAAAAAGATGGTGATTCCTGCTTTTTGGTGGTGTTGGGCGAAAAATCGAGGGTTTTTGATTTCTGGTTTTTGCTGGTGGTTTCATCATCCACCAGACAAAAACCCATCTATTTCCAACCAAAAGGACGCCTATGTCAACCTTTTTAGTGGCCTGTGGCTCGTCCATGCTTCAAGGGTAGTTTTCGCTTGGTTGCAAAACTCGTTCCCCAGGACTACGAGGACACCAAGGCGCGGGAGAGAGGTCCCCAGAGGAAAGTTGTCTTTTCAGGAACCAATCAGGTTTCGGCACATCCTAGGCGGTGCGAAATGGATGGACACAGCCACCGCCGTGTCTTTCTTTCTGGTTGGTTCAAAAGGGAAACCCGCGGGGTGTGTGGGGCTAGGGTTTTGTGTCGTCGACCAAAGCTAGGCCAGAACCCGTTGCTTTGCTTGGCGGTTCCAGGCCAGCCAGTTCCTTAGGCTTTTGGGTTTTGTAGTGTGTAGTGGGTAGGGTTGTGGGATCAAGGGGTTTATCCCCCACTTCTGCCCCTCTTTATATGGGGGGTTAGTCTTTGGGAGGCCCTTTTTGTTGTATCACAGAAGTAATCATTTCCCACAGCCCTGGTACCATTTAACCCACTAAAAGTTCGTCACTTTGATCAGGGGATCAGAAAACGGACAGCCCAGTTTGCAGGTCCGAATGTTCGGCTTCACCGCTGCGCCCTGAACCCCAGATTGCTCGTGGGTGGACTCTGGCAGCGATCTTTCTTGGCGAAGGGTTGCCCCCCCCCCTTGGGAGATCAAAGGACACACGCGCGTCAACAATTCTAAAGGGAGCGTGGTTTCAAAAAACCCACTTGAACGGAAACACGCGGCTTCAAACAGAAGTCATCTTCGTCTTTGAGGGTCGAAAGGGAAACCAAAGGAACACCCACATCTATTCAAATCGGGGGGTCCCCCGATTTGTGACCCAACTGATGCGGCCCCAATGGAAAGGTCGGCTGGCATTTGAAGGGCGAGAATGACGTGGCCCACCTTTAGGCTCACCTTCTCGCGCCTAAGACATAGAGTTGGCTACATGGGGGGGGGGGTCCCATGGTTTTTTGGTGGTCCTTTTTTCTTTTTCTTTTTAGAGGGCGCCCAGAAAGTTTTTGTCGTTGTTTTTGGTGGTCGTTTTTTGCAGGCGGTTTCCATTAAACTGATCGCCACCTTTTGGGAGGTTCCAAACAAAAACATGGAGGAAACCTTGTCACTCGCATTGTAATCAACCTTTCTAAAGCCCACGCTGCATTTCCTGACCATTGCAAGCAAACTACCCACAACTCATGAGAAATTCGGGGGGGGGGTCCCACTTGCAATCTGCAGAGAATCCTCTGTTGCCCTTTCTGTTACAGTGCTACTGTGGCGCTGTCGTGCAAGAAACCAAGGTTCAACATTTAACTGCACTTACCGGAGCAACTGGATGCAAACCCTTTGCATACTTGGTGCGCCGAAGCCTAGATTTCATACCAAACTCACACAATGGCCCGGTTGCTCCTTTCGATCCCAGGATCGGCGGTTTGGGCACCGCCTATGCCTTCGCCATGTGCGACCACCCGCCTGGTTATCTTGGTGGTCCCTTTCGGCTTCAAATACGTGTTTTCTCTTTTTCTTGGTGGTCCCCGGCCACCTCCCTAAATTTTCGTAGACTTTTCAGGGTTTAGGTGGGGCTTTCCATGTTAAGCTTTGAACAAAATCCACCTAAAGGGTTCCCATTTAAAATTCACCGCCGCTATAGCCATAAAACTACATGGAACTACAGCACAGGGATTGCTCCCAAGTGGTGTGCCTGGTTGTTTGCCCAAGGCACGCAAAGGATCTATGTCTCAGAATGAACTTGGACCCCGCCTTTTGAGTGACAGACCTGAACCAATGGAGGGGTCCTTGCAATGGAGCAGGCCCTGCAAGGTTAGCAAAAGGTGTCTTGCAAAACAGTTGGACCCCCAAAACAGGTGGTTTCCTTTTGGTTTTGCTTCAAAACCTATCCAAAACGGGTACCCCCCAAACAAAAATCGGTCTCAAGCGGTTTGCCTTGGCCACAGAAAGTGAGATCCCGCTTCGAAACAAGTCGACAGGCGTGCAGATTGATACTGGTGGGTTGCGATGATCCCGAAATCGCGGCACTTTCAAAGCATAAATCTAGGGTTTGGTTCCTTGTCCATTCTTTTCAACCATCGTTCTTTTCAAAAACCGGCCGTTTCCTCGGAATGTATTGAGGTCTTTAGAAAGACTCGGATCTCTGGAAAGAATGGACATGGAAGGTACCCCTAGAATAAAACACCGTTTTTTGCGTGTATTTACCTGGGAATCTTGGAAGCCATGGGAGAAAAGACCATACCGTTTGTTTGGTATTTCCGTTGGGGAATCAGACCGGGTTTCCGAGTTGGGTGTCGCGATGTCCGGAGTTCGGCTGTCCATTAGGAACGGGGCCCATGCCGAGGAACCGGATCAGATCCGTTGCTCGAGTTGGATTCGGTCCATATTCACTGAACCTGAAAACCGTCGAGCTCCATCTCAAAAGAGACCCGGAACTTGCTGCTCAGGGAATGTGGGAATGAACCGGAAGGGAATTAATTTCCTTGAGAGAAGCCAGCAGTTGGATGCTTTGTAAGGGGCATTCCAATTCTCATTGCCTGCATCTCTCGCACCAAGGAGCACTTTGGTGCATTTTGCTTGGATGTTAGGACTTTAACTGTTTGCCAAGTAATCAGTTTTCCGTATTAAACCACTAGAAGTTAAAAACTTTTAGCAGGGGAGCAGAAAGCAGCCGAGGTAGGGCCTTGAACCCCTAAGGTGGGTGGCTTTCCGTTTAACCCCCAAATGTGCCTTGCTCTTTGTTGTCCATGCATTCCAGGGATTCCCTTAAAGGAAACCACCAGTTGGATGGTTTGTACGGGGCATCCCATTTCTCATTCTCTGCATCTCTCGCACCAAGGAAAGCTTTGCTGCATGTTGCCAAGGGATGTTAGGACTTCCGTATTAAACCACGAAGAGTGAGTCACTTGTAGCAGAGCAGAAAGCAACCAAGGAAAAGGGGGCAGTCCTTCTCACAGGTACGGCGCCAGCATGGCCTTCAGCTTCGGCCCGGAACCCCAGGGCCACGACTTTGGGGTCGTGACGTAAATCGTGGCTTGCAGGGAGAAAGCCAAAGCGGAGTCGGGTTCTTTGGGGTTTTGGAGAATGGGTTGGATTTGAGTCTGGAGAAGCACAGGGGAGTCAGGTGAGAGTCAATCCCTTGGTGCCCACTAAAGGTGAAACTGTTAGAAGGGGATTTGAGGACAGCCCAGGACGAATAAGGGGTTGGTTGAAGCATTTCAAAGAATGTTTGAAGGGTGAACCGTAATGCTTGGGACGGCTCTTCCCCAGAATCAGTTCCCCTTTTCGATTTTTTTTGGGCTTTTTTGGGGTCCCCTTTGTTTTCCACTAACCAGGCAAAAAAAAATAAACTGTTTTTTTGGCTTGGGGTCCGATTTTTCCAGGGCTGGGGACCGCCAAGCTGCTTTCCAACCTTTCGGCTTTTCCCTTTCTTCAGACATCGGCACATCGGCACATCGGCTGGCCGCCCTCCAAAGAGCGGTTTCGTCCGGCGTTCAAAAAAAAAAGGCACGCTCTCGGGTCGGGTTGATGCCAAGCTTGGAAACCCGGCTTTTTCCAACGCACACAGCTATATGGCTGTGGGGCAAAACTAAACAGCAAACAGCTGGGGTTACGCAGGTTTTAGTCGACCTTTCTACTTACCGTTCTATTTTGGACCCCTATCTTTGAGCCACACCCGTATAATTCTCATTCTGCATAATTTCCTATATTTCTAGGGGTTGATTCCCCATTCTTTTCAACCATCGTTCTTTTCAAAAACCGGATCTGTTTCCAACCTGGGTTTCGGGCGGTTTTCTAGAAAGAAATTCGGATCCCTGGAAAGAATGGATATGGAAGGTACCCCTAGAATATTCCTCATGTGACATGTCTGGTGGTTTCTCAGCCGAAAGAGGCACTTCATGGGTCGTGATGGGGAGCTACTTGGTGTGGAGCGGTGGCTGTCGGCGGGTCAAAACCGTTTTGGGATCCCATTTTGGTTGGTAGGTGAATTCACCACCCATTTTAGAACCTATTTTAGTGGTTGGATTGAATCGGATGTTCACTGGGGGTACGATTTGGGTTTTGACCCATGGCCATATCTCTGCACCAGCCACACAGAATGGCTCACCTTTCTTTGGCCTCAAGCATCTTTAAATAAACTACCCCCTACACCCAATACCCACTTTTTTTAGGGTATGATGTCGACCCTCTACTAAAAAAGGAGGTATTTACCATGGAAAACCAATCGGTTTTCCCAAAAATACCCTGAAAAAAACGGGTATTTGGAGTAGGGGGTAAAAAGGGGAAGTGTCTTCGTGTTCTGGAATCCCCAGAGCTATTTTTCGGGTAGACTGAATCTGGGTATACGTCTTTTTCGAGGGTGCCAACCGTTTTTTCGGTGTGTTTTGGGGTCCCCTACAAATGGCACACCCAGATCCTGGCGGTTCCCAGCCTTTTTTCTTAGGCTTTTAGGTTTTTAGTGTTTAGTGGTTGGGTTTCCATTTATCCCACTAAAAGATAAACTTGTAGCGGGGGGAACTGAGGACAGCCCAGAAAAAGCCAAGCCCCATTTGGGAGATTCCTCGTTCAGAACCCTGGGCGAAAAATTCCCGCGGGACGAAGGTGGAGGCCGCCAAAGCAACTCCTCGAGATCGACTAGGTCCCCCAGCTAGGTGCCCTTTTTTAACCGCGGGTTCCCCTACGAAAATAGACTACAGAAAAAAGGGCACCCTTATTCTAACCTCTCTACTGGAGGACCTAGTCGAGCAAACTGTGTTTCGCACGTCAAAAAAAGTTGAAGTTTCAAAAAAAGTTGAAGTTCCACAGGGTGGACTATAAGCTTAGACCCTCTTCGGTTCAAAAGAAAAGAGGGTATCTACACTTTTCAGGGTCCCTTTGTTCCCATGCAAACCCAGATGTTGGACTCTCGACATGCACACCTATATAAACAGAGCTTCTCTTTCCTGTCCATATATATATGAGCATGTGTCAAAATTAGGCCCCCCCCCCCCCCCCAAAAAAAAATCAACAACAACAAAAACAGACACACACACACACACAAAATAATGTCCTTTTGGTGAACCTGAAAAAGGCTACTATCAAACAACTCCATACCGCATAGAAACCTTGGCGTCTCCCAGCCATCCCCTTAGGCTTTTAGGCTTCCAGTGTTTAGTGGTTGGGTTTTGTTTAGTAGGGGGGTTCCATTTGACCTGCTAAAAGTCATTCACTTTTAGCAGGGGATCTGCAGTCAGCCCCTCAAAACGCTTGGCCTTCTGCCGGAGGCTTGGGCTCCATTGGAGGCCTTTTGTACCTCTCCGCCCGAAGCCCCAAGCCCCGAGACGTGAGAGTCGGGGATTCTGTCGAGAGAATGGATTGCTTTGGGTTTCCTTCAACACCATGCAAGCAGGTAGAGGCACATTTTTAGTTTTTGCTCTTTCTTTCTTTTTTTCGTCCCTTTTTGAGGATATCCCTTTTTTTGGGGGGGTCGTTTGAACCACAGAGAGGCTACAAGGTAGAGACACAAAAAAGAGCTGGCTCGATTCTTCGATTCTCTTTGTTTGAGGCTAGGTATCCTGTTTTGGGTTGTTGAAAAAGGGACGCCGAAAGGACAAACACTCTAGATCACTCCTAAAGGAAGCCCACTATGCTAGGGTGATGTGTTGGAACAACGCACCCTTTAAGGGGTAGGGATCCTTGCCCAGCCCTCATTGGAAACACCGGGGATTTCAGATTTCAGATCAAGACCGAAGAAAAACACACACCGTAAACCCCTTTTTTGGGCTCTTATATTCCATCTTTTCCCTTGTTGGTTTTAAAGGGAATCGATTTCACTACTGGAAATTTGTGAACTTTGGTCCAAGGGACTTCAGCAAATGGAGGTATTCCATCTCTGCAAGTGGCACTCATTGCCTTAGATTCACCGAAAGGGCCCCAAGTTGATTGCCGCTCGGTGACCCAGAAAAAAGTTCTAGGGGTGCCTTCCATTTCCATTCTTTCCAGGGATCCGAATTTCTTTCTAAAAAGCCACCCAAAACCCAGGTTGGAAACGGATCTGGTTTTTGAAAAACACGATGGTTGAAAAGAGTGGGGAATCAACCCCTAGAATGCTTCACCTTGTTCGGGGGTGAAAAGCTTCCCAAGTGGCGGCTAGCGTGGCAACGAAGATCCTCTGGGTTGACTGTCCTTCTTCGCTGGTTCTCTTTAGCGACAAAGAACTAGCAGATGGGCGTCAGCGTGTGTATGCGTTCGAGGACAGAGTCCCCCCCTAGAGCTCAACAGGCTTTTTTAACGGGGAAATAAAGCCAAACAAGGATACCCTTTTTGGGGTAAGGGAAAGGAACACCGAAGCCATTTTGGGGAATGGCAAACCCACAGGCCAGGCTCCCTGACGAATTCCTTCCGCGACTGGATATGGTCCTTCCATCCTGGCGGCCCAGAACAAAACGTAATTCGGGGTGCCTTTGGGCAGGAAGATGTTCAGGAGATTCTGAGGGTTGATTCGGGGGTCGTGACACGCTTTTGGTGGATCTGAGCTACCAGAATAGACGAACCATCATCTTTCTTGGTGGTTCCCAGACATGTTTCTAGGGGTTGATTGATTCCTTGTGATCTGGAGCACTCCCTTGGGTGCACATGGGAACGGGTGCAATTTCTCGCGCCCAGGGTGAAACAACCACCATTCGAGGGCTTGATTCCTTGTCCATTCTTGCCAACCATCGTTCTTTTCGAAAACCGATCGCCGTTTCCATGGGTTTCCGGAGGTTTTCTAGAAAGAAGTTCGGATCCCTGGAAGAATGGAAATCGGAAGGTAGCACTAGAGAGATGCAACTGTAGTTCTGCCCCGTTCTAAAAGTTCCATCGGGTGTGGGGTACAGACATCATTTAGAGCTTGGCTTGGAGATTTGTCAGTCGGGGACTCAGGACTCACCCGTGGAAGTGTGTCTGTTCACACTAAGCAAGCAGGTCACCAGATTGTTTTTGGGTCGGGTGGGTTGACCTTCGATGGACCTTCAATCGCGTTCTCCTTTTTGCTCAGGCGGGTGTGGGTGAACTTAAACCACCAGGCAAGATAGGACTGCAGGTCAGATCGCCCTTTCCGTTTACCCGGCATCCCTATGTTTGACCCACACCCCAGGTGGAAGCTATGGAGCCTAAAACGTCAGATAGGCTCTGGGGTTTGCTTTTGTTCCGGGTCCGGAAGGGTTCCAGGTTGGGAAACCGGGGTTCTGGTGGATACCACCTGGTTGCCTTTTCTCTTTTCTTTTTTGTTATATACCATTTTGTCTATATATATATATATGTATACACGTTCACACACTGCCGATGGAATATACATATATATATATATATTTATACACATATGTATGTCATATATGTATATTTACACACCCAAACACATCGATCCCGACCCCATCTTCGTCTCCGCTTCGCGGGGATAGGGCCTGGCCTCCTACACCGACAATGCGGAGAACGCCATGGGCGGCTTCCTCGGTGCGTTTTGCTGGGCGGGGAATGCGCCGGGCACTCCTTCATGGCTCAGGTCAAAGGTTCGGTTCCTTTGCTTGGGGTAAACGTGATGGGAATCCTGGATGCCAAAGAAAACTTGGATCTTTAGACTTTAACTTTTGGTTACAATCTTGGTTCGTTTTCCACGAAGCCCCAACAAGTTAAAAACTTTTTGCAGGGGGGTCAACAGCAACCCAAAAAAGTGGACTCTCCATCCGTTTTAAGTTTCTTCAAAGACACCCGTTTGAGCACCTCGCCTTTTGACCACCCCCGCTTGACTTGCGATCAGAGCGAAATCGGCAGGGAATGAGAAATGGAATGAACCCAGGCTTCCCCTGAAAGGAAACCACCAGTTGGATGGTTTAGACTGGGGTCATTCCATTTCTCATTCCCTGCTGAGCCCATGCAAGTTGACTCGGGGTTCATGAGTTGCTCCGGGTTCCTCTGGGGGTAGCAGGTTGGGATACCAAGATTCCTCTCCAAAGACACACCCACCATGCAGATGCGCGCCCAGGGCACCTTGTCGAGCCTCATTTTTGGTTGGGCTCTCATACTGTGGATGGACAAATCCAATTCGCAGCACTTTGAAACCAGGGTTGAAACCATTGTTTGTTGGTATTTACAGGGGAATCACCATTCCAGGGTTTCTTATAAAGACCGGTTCCTTTGCTTGGGGTTGCCTGGGTTAACGTCGGGATGGTCAACTTGACGATTAGGCCTCACGTCCAAGGCAAACAATGCTGGCATGAGGGGGTCACCCTGTTCGCCACCCTCCGCTTAACGCAATGGGTTTGGCCACTGCCACCCGCTCAGAAATGGGACGGCGATCCATACCAAACGCGCACAGTAACAACAGCTGGGATGGTGGGGGCGACACAAGCTTGGGCGAAATCTTGTGACAATAATTATGCTAGGCCTTTTCTGGAAGCCACTGGTTGTCTGTTCCCGGTTCATGCTTTTGGCAAAAGCCCTGTAATCATTCGTGTTGTCACCTGAGTTTTGACCATCTGTAACTCAACAAGTTCTAGCTATTTAGGTCGTAGTACAGTTGGGTGAACGTAGACGGTGAGATCCATTTCAAACCCATTTTGGTCATCCCCTTTACCCGCATTTGGGAGTTTTGTGTAAAGGGAATCCGTTCAGGAGCCCAACTTTTACAATGGGAACTGAGGGTGAGTAGAGTCCAATAGATGTCTAGTCAACAGGGACTTTCCACCATGGGTTTGGTGGGTTTTTGGCCCAAAGCCAACCGCTTAGCGATTGGTCCAGTTCACTTAAGCCAGGTGAGCTCCATTTTTAGCTGTTGGATTGAATCGGATGTTCACTGGGGGTACGATTTGGGTTTTGACCCATGGCCATTTAACCCCCCTAAAAGTTGAAAACAACTTTTAGCAGGGGATCAGAAAACAAAGAGCCCAGATGAGTACTGTTGACCCCAGCGTTCATCGGAAACAACCCACAAAACACCCGCCGAGTAATAAACTGGGGTTGAAAAGAATACGGGGTCAGCGCTAAAATCGGAAACCAGAAACCAGTTGATTCCATCAACCCTAAGCATCTTGGGCCTTCAAAACGGCCCTTTTTGAGGTCCAAAACCTTGCCATGGAGACCCTGACCCCTTCAATGGAGGGCCCAATGATGGTTAGGGAACTTGAGAAAAGAATGCGGCTCCAGCTGCCAACTCCAGGGGGCGTACCATGGCATGGCTAAAAACCATTGGTCATGAACCGTGGCACATGGGATGACACTCGCTCCATCGGGCGGTCGAAGCTGGCGAGAACCCAGTTCAGCCAAGGAATGAAAACATAACGTTTGCGCTGGAATAAACTTGAATCCATCGGCCAGCTGCCAGGTGCGGTGAGAAAACCGCAGAGGGGAAATGAAACCATAATGTTTGGTCTTGTCTTTTTTCGGCGGGGAATCGAACCAAATGAACATATAGGGTTTGGTTTTGAATTTTTTGGTGGCGAAATGGGGAATCGAATCCTTCCGGCAGCGAGAAAACGTCACAGAGGTTCCCAACCTCAGGCGCTTTGGGAGCTCGGCGACTGCTGGCCCCGCGCTTGGAGAAGTCGAGGTTCGAGAAGTCGAGAAGTCGAGTGGTGTTGAGCCACTTGCCCAGTGGATTCCGTGTTTGTATTTCTTTTTTTTCTCCCCTTTTTTCCCTATTTTTTGTCCGACTTTTTTTTCTGACTTTTTTCTTCCGACTTTTTTCTTCCGACTTTTTCTTTTCAGGTTTGGGGTTCCTTTGAACTCAACCAACCGTCAAAATCAGACGCCAACTGTTTTGCCCATGTGATTGATGGGTTCGGCCCAATGGGCCGAGGTAACCCCCTTCTAGAGAAACCTTCCCTTGTTTGCGGGAAAACCCTACTAATCCAAGCGGTGGATGAATCCCGGGAGGCTTGTAATCTAAATGACCCCCACGAAGTAAAACATTGCTTGGCGCACCCTGGGACTCTTTTTGGTAGGTCCTGACTCTTTTGGGGTCCTCAAAAAGAGGCTGGAAATGGCCCGGGAGGGGTCGGGGCTCTCCAGAGGGTCCAGGGCTGAGTTTGGGTTCTGTTCATTTTGAGTTGTTTTGGGGGGCAAACAACCGCCTCAGGTTTTTTGCCAGCCCAGACCGTTTGGGTTCTGAAGCTTATGGTGGAAGCCATTGATTGCACTTCCAAGAACAAACCCAAAGGGCAAAGACTTTGGGAGATGTACAGGCGGCCGGTAAGCTCCACATGTTTGACCCGAAACTCGAAACCAAGACCTCCGGTCTTGACACTTCACCCGGGGTCATTTGGGTGTCTGTGTGTGTGTGTGTCTTTTTGTCTGTGGGTGTGTGTTTCTTTGAAGGTAACCCCTGGTTAGGGTTGGTTGAAAGAAGCAAAGGGGAACACCACCATTGTTGATGGGTACTTCTGCGTTAGGGTATATGTAGGTTTAAAGAGGAACCGAGCCCTTTTCTTTTGGTTGGGGGGGTACCCCCATGATGACACGTACTCATTTGACTGTTTTCAGGTGTTGGTTGGTCGTTTCTCTTTTAACCTACCACTCGCGCGTGACTTTCCTTGGATGCCCATTCCTCCCACGACCAAAGTAGTTTGAGTTCTCCAACAGCTCCAGGGCCTCTGCTTGAGGCGTCGGGGGCTGTTCGCAGCTTGGATGCCCCTTCCTCCCGTTTGCGTCCTGCGTCCTGCTTGAGCCGCGGCTCATCCCAATGGCCCATGGAAGCTGCTGCAAAGCAGTTCAGTGCAGTCCGGTGAGCAGGGTTGTCGTTGATCACTCGGGGTTTCTCCAACCACTTCTGTGATATCTGCGGGAATCCCCCTTTCTATGAACAAAATAGTCTTGGGGGTTAGGCCCTTTCTGTTGTATCACAGAAGTGGTCATTCCCCACAGCCCTGGTCCGGTGCTGTGTTCTACTTGGCCCTGTTCGGTTTTTTAGGGAATCGATCACAAGTGGATATACTTGCTTCTCCAGGGGACGTATCCGCAAATGGAGGTTCGGCTTGCCGTTTCGGCTTGCGCGACTTTGACGGTGAAACCTTGAGCGTGCCAGCCAACAGGAACTTTTTCCGGGGGCCCCCAACCAGGGGTGGGTTCATTGAATATTTCTTGAACACAACTTTGCAACATGCTGGAGGGTTTCAAAGGTTTCAGACATGCCGAATTCAAGTCATGAGCTTAGCTATCAACTAGCCCAAGCCAACCACAAACCCAAGCCGACCCCAGTCAATGTAGCACCCAATTTCAACCCAACTTCGCCAACCCAAACCCAACCAACAGCCCAACCCAATCCAACAGATCCGTCACTCGGCTTCCCGCGTTGCGTTCCGCCGGTTGCCGCCGGTTTCCGCCGCTTTTCTGTGATGCGGTTCTCGGTGCTCACGTACAACGTGCTGCACAGCGCTGGCGCGAAAAGGCGCCGGGAGGGGGGGGGAAGTCGAAGGTTGATGGAGTATGTGTAAAAATTCGGGAACCCCCCCCCAAAAAAAACAAAGCCGCAAAAGAAGTGGCTGTCCACATCCAACAAATCCACACGCCCCATAGAAACCTTGGCGGTTCCCAGCCATCCACTTAGGCTTTTAGGTTTTTGGTGTTTAGTGGTTGAGTTTCCGAATTTCACCCACCAAAAGTTATTCACTTTTAGCGCGGGATCAGAAAGCGGACAGCCCAAGATTCCCATTTTTGGGGCTCGGTTCTGTTGAAGGATTAAGGAATACCTTGGAACAGCCCAAGTGGGAGTATGGCCCGCTTCTTTCGGGTGACCCCAGCTTAAAAGGCGCAGAAGGAGTTCTAGGTTGACCCCAGAATTTTCATCCACCGGTTTAGTTTCATAGGGGTGCTTTTTTTTCTGGTTGAACTGTGGTTAGAATCAGATCGCGTTTCCAGGGCCCGCAGCCTTGTATTAATACACCGGGGTTGATTAATATGGGTCAACATCACTCACGGCACGAAGGTGCTTAGACTATTCTGAAATCTATTTTGCTCAGTGGATTCCACCCGCGTCCAATGTTTTGTTTGGATTCGGGAGCTGACCGGAAAAAGACGCCCTCTGGTTTTGCAGGCAACCAAGGGAACCACCCGAGATACATGTCATGAGGAAATGTCTTGGTCACCAAATATCCTGGGATCCATAGGTATTTTGACACATGCCCACATTGTCGAAGGGCACTTCCCCGCAAAAAGGCCTCCCCATCTTGATCGAGCAACCCCGTGCAGCGTGGCACTGGCACAATACCTCCCTTCGCATCCAAGAGCGCCTCGCTTACCATCGATGTTACTTACAAGTGTCACTTCTGAACTCAGAACGCGCGAAAAAGGATCCGACTCAGGAATCCTTGAAGTGAGGGGAGCACCCCAAAAGCCCGGGCCTTGTACCCGGAAATCCGCCGAAGTTCCGTGCGGGCGCCGTTCGACCTGTGGCATTTCAGCTTGCAAATGGAAACCCGGGGAGGCGGTCACCGGGAGGGCGCCTGCTGGTGACATCATGTTTTTCGGGGGTCCTGAGCCCCCAGAAGAAAGCGTTGCTGTTTGGACACCTCCTAAGATGATCGACACCAATTTGGGTGCCGGGCTTTCTTTTGTTTCCCGAAACGCGCAACACATGTCTACCAAAGTAAAGTGGGCCAGGGTCCTAGTTTTTTCCTGCCAGGCTTCTAAAATAAACACACTGTGGATGGACGAAATCCTGCACCATCTAGGAAAGTCTGGAATGATGATTCTTCTGGAATTTCCAACAAACGTTATGGTTTCAACTATGGTTTCAAAGTGGTGGGATTTCTGGATTTCGCGTCCATCCACAGCACGACCCAAGGTTGTCAAAGTCGCGCGCATGTTTTTTTTTTCAATGACCAAAGTGGGCCAGGGTCCTGGTTTTTGTGCCAGGGTTCTATATGAACATATATGGCTTTTTAGCCTAGTGTTTAGTGGTTGGATTTCCGAATTTAACCCACTAAAAGTTATTCACTTTTAGCAGTCGGTACCCTTCAAAGGGATGTTTCCCAAAAAATAAGAATGGAAATCACAGGGAAGTCATCCATTTCTGGGGTCCTCCCAGAGACACTCCAGAATTTAAGGCGGTTCCCGATTCTAAATTTTGCCAGGGCCCTGTCCAAGCGAACGAGATGAAGACTTTGTGTTCGATCCTGGGCATCCTCGCGTTAGGCTGCTGCGTGCCGGGCTCCACAGCAGCCAGTGGGCCAATGATCGCAGCTTGGAGTCTGTGAGCACTTTGGGGCTTCTGAATAATACATCTCGGGTCCTGTTTCTCAAAGTACTTGTTGGTTTGTTTGTTTTTTGTTTTTCTCCAGAAGTTGTTTTGGTTTGTGTTTTGAGCTGGGAGGGCTTGGGGCTTCTCAAATATACTTTTGGGCGGGGTGGGGTATGGGCATTGGATCATGTTACCCTCCCACCAATCAACATGGAACCTGACGTTCGGGGGTCCCTTTAAAAGGCAAGTGGTCTTTCAGGACCCCCCAAAACGTCAGGTTCCATGTTAATTGGTTGGAGGGCAATGTTCCTCCTTGGGAATTCCATGTTGGACGGGAGGGTATTCACGGGAATCCGTTTCTTTTGGCCACGCTTCAGCGGGGCGCAAAGGGGGCCAAAGCGCACGCCGGAAGAGAATAACACCCCTTCCCATCACTTACCCTAAGCATCCTTTTTGGTTGGTTTGGCTCAACAAAATGAAGGGCACTGGTTGGGTTCCAGTGACCTTCCCAAAAAGGACTTTTTATTTCACTCAGCTGGTTGGAGGGGACCCGTTAGGGAGCTGGACTTCCATTTGTTTAAGATTATATATTGTTTTATGTTCCCCTGTTGGTTTTAAAGTTGGAATCCATTTCACTACGTGAAACATTTTCCAATTTTTTCCAGGGGGCTTAAGCAAATGGAAGTGGAGGGGTTCATTTTTTTTCAGCATTTCAAGAGGGAGCCTTTCGGAGCCGCCAGGAGTTCGGAGCTGACATGGCAGTTGCTCGAACCATACATGGCGCGATTCGATGGAAGCACCATTCAGGCGCCATGGACGTAGCTTGGTCAAAGGGCAACTGGCACCCTGCTGGCACCCTGCTGGAGTTACTATTAAGACCTGGTTTCTCCAAAACAATGGTATATTTCAGGGTAGGCTGAATATGAAGCACGAAGGAAAACACACACACACACACACATTCGCCGTGTAGCCTTCTTTTTGGCCAAGAAAGGAGGGTATCACTTGGGGTACTGTTGAGGAACGAAATCCATTTCACCACCTAAGAAACCCTGGCATGATGATTTCGGTGTAAATACCAACCAACCATGGGTTTGTTATTTCTCGATTTCGGAACCATCCAGAAGTCTTGGCCCAAATTTGCGGGGTCCCTTTTTGTATGGGTAGCAGAGTCCAGGTACCCATGGGTTGCCCCAAAACCGCGCTTTTCACCTCGGGCCTTGATGAATTCCTGCGGTATCACCTCCCCAGAGGCCCTGGAAACGGTATCACCCCAAAGGTCCTGGAAATTAGAAAGTTTTTTTAAGCTCACTTTTTCGGTGTTTCTTAGGTGGGCCACGGCCTCTTTCCATTCGGGGCGACTCGGGGGGGGGCCACGGGCGTCTTTGCCTCTCTCCCAGGCCTGCAGCGCGCGGCGGAGGCGGTGCAGCGCCTGAGCCCAGACATCGCCTGCCTGCAGGCGGGCGCCGTCGCTTTTTCGTGGCGCTTCTAACGGCGTGTTTTCGGCGGTTTTTTTGGCGGTTTCCGGGGGGGTTTACCCAACAGAAGACCGCAGGGAAGCAGGTTTCCCGTTAAAGTTGGTGGGGTGGGGTGGGTGCAGCGAAGCACTAGAAAAAGACAGACTGGACTCTTTTTTTGGTTCCTTCATTTCCCTTTGCGGAAAGTTCCGGCATGTTAACTGATCGCGTACCACGTGAAGACCAGGGTTTGATTCTAACTCAGTTGAAAAGAAGCCCCCCCCCCCCCCCGACACGTTGATTTGCAGGAGAGCATCAAAACCCTATGAGGGCACTCCGGAAAGACTGTAAGATACGGATTTGGACCCCTAAAATTGGCAGGCTTGTCCTTTTAGTCTTCCTTCAAACTGACCTAAACAAAGGCAACACAAGCCCATTCAGTTTTTATCCTCCCAAACCTGCTGGTCTTTCGGCTTCCATTTGAAGCGTTAACTTGAAGCTGTGGGATTCTTAGCCGTTTGGATGGGGTTCTAACCCCAAAGCTTATCCGTGGTCAAGCCAAAAGGCCTACCAACTCGGCTTCCCTTGGGAAGTTTGTAAGGGAATTTTGACCCACGCCTGGAGCACACACTGAGGCCTAGAGTAACCATGGCTACCCACCAAAGGATGCAAGTCCCCTTCTGTAGGTGTCCAGAGTTCGTAGCCATTTAGCCAACTTTCAGACGCTCTTGGAGAACTTAGCTATACCCTTCCCCAGAATCAGTTCCCCTTCTTGATGTCTGGCTTTTTTGGGCCCCCCTTTATCTTGGCGGTTCCCAGCCATCCCCTTAGGCTTTTAGGTTTTTAGTGTTTAGTGGGGGTGTCCATTTAACCCACTCAAAGTTAAACTTTTAGCGGAGGATCTGAGGACAGCCCAGTTTTCCACGAACCAGGCAAACCATATTTCGCTTTTTGCTGTCCCGATTCCAGCCAAGTACCGAGATAAAGCACAATTTGGCCGGGAGCCTGCTGACCGATTAATGGGCCCATGACCCCATGACCCCTTTGCTGGTGCGAAAATCGGCAGGGAATGTGAAATGGAATGAAGCCGGGGGTCCCCTGAAAGGAAACCACAAAAGATGGTTTATAAGGGGCATTACATTTCTCATTCCCTGCCCATCGCACCAGCAAGTTTTTCAAGGGCCCAGGTAGGAGACTCCAGGTAGGAGTGTCACTTCCTGGGCGGTTCACTCCTTTTGGGCGGTTGTAAAGCGAAAATCGAAATCTATTTCGGGGGTCCAATCTCCTATTTTAAGATCAAGCCCAGGTACCTGGATCCTCAAACTACCAAACAAGGGATTTGTTCACCCCAGAGTTCTTTGGGCCAGTATCACTTTTTTCAGGCTATAAATCTTGGGCTAACAGCACTCTCTCTCTCTTTCTCTCTCTCTCTCTCTCGTTTTTACAATAGACAATGAATATATATATATGTATATCCCTGTTTTGGGGCTTGGCCAATCTCACTTTATGTTTTTTTTTTGTTGAAAACCACGCAAACACAAAAGGAACTATTTTTAGACAACCCCATTACCTCATAGCTACACTAGCTATAAGTTTTGGGCCAATAGCACTCTCCTTTTTTTTGCGAAATAATACATAGATATATATATATATATAGGCCTACTTTGGGGCATACCCATTAGTACAATTTACAAAATAATATGTGTATATATATATATATATATATATCCCTAATTCAAGACACACTCCTTAGTCCAAGGCTTCCCCTTGGATCACTTCGAACCGAAGAACTCGCTGGGTTTAGGAGTTCGACGAGCGCGCGGAGGAAGCCTTCGAGCGCAGCTTGGGGGACGCTTACCACCGGGCGCCGCGGTCGGCAACACGCGACCGGAGTCGGCGGGGTCGGAGTGGGAGTGGGGACCGGAGTAGAATGGCTTTATTTTAGTGGGGATTGGGATGTTCACTGGACGGGATTTTGATCCATGGCCAAATCACACTCTCAGTGAAAGATGGGATGCAGGGGGGGGGGGGAAGGTCTGGGGCTCGGGTCGCGTGTGGGGGGGGGGGGGGAACTGCAATACTCTTGAAAGCAACCGATTTGTAAATTGTGACATGGCTTGTTTTTCGCCTCCGGACTTTTTGTAGGAGAAGGATGGGTGCAACACGACTCACTCAGTCCCCAAAACGTTCCCCCGGAGTGGGGCTTCGTGTCTCTCGCGTCTCTCTCCGTCTTAGCACCAGGCTGTGGTGTTGCGGAACGAGGAGCTGCCGCCGAAGGAGTGCGGGCGTCGGTTTCGGTTTCCCTTTTTTGGGTGTGTCCTTTTTGTTGGGGACCCCCATCGTTTTTACATTTTTGCTTGTTGTGGTTTAGTGGGACATCTCCACTTAACTTCTAAGATTTAACTTTTTGCTCGCCTTCCAACGTCAACCAAGGCCCTTCTTGGAGTGGCTTTTAAGAAAAGCCACACATAATTTTGAAGGGTCCCCTACACAGAGACAAGCCCATATTAAAAAGACTAGCGGGCACCCAGGATTCTGCATCTGAAGTTTTGAAATATCAAAGACGTTCAGCATAATGTTTGAACATCTTCGGATAGAAACCTGGTAAAGCAGTTTCGTTGCGTGTCCAGGATTGTCAGATCCAATACGGTTGCGTTGTTTTTTGTGGTATCTATTTTGGGATAGAAACCAAAAGGAAAGCCAAAGCCATTTCGGGGGGTCCGCTTAAACCAAGACACACCCATATGGGCATTTGTTTGGGCGCCCTGCAACACAAATAAAGGGGAATTCCGAACCGAACCGGCGGATAGGTTTATTCCCCAACCCCTTTTGGGAATATGGGAATGAACCGTTTGGGGTATTGTAGGAAACGTCACAAGTGGTTGTTACTGGTTCATTTCAACTCATTTCCTGATAAGTTAAGACACTGTCTACACCCGAGATTGCTCTTTCGCAGCTTTGGGACCTTGTCGCTCTTTCTTGCACATGAAGTTCCTGTCAATGCAAACTCGGCCTCGGTGTTTTGTTGACCTGTGTTTCATTGTCCGTCCGGGCGGGGGAGAAGTTCAAGGGCAGCCGAACAGCAGAACCCCTGCTTGATATTGATCGGAGGGTGTCCCCCTTTTAGTCGGGGCGGTCGTCACTTTTGGAGGGAACAGCCCCCCCTATTACTGTAGTAGGACGGGTTTCTGAATCCGGGGTGATCATTTAGATGGTCTGGGAGGCAACCCGATTGTGCAAATGTTCATAACCGACAGCCCCGCAATTGTCCTAGGTCCCCAAGTAGTGCCCTTTTACTCTTCTTTTGGGGGGAGGGTTCCCCTACTAAACTAGTTTCTACAGAAAGAAATAAGGTACCAACTTATTCTAACCTCTCTACTGGAGCACCTAGGCTTTTTAGGCTTCCCTAAGCTGCAAACTGGTTCATAACCCGAGAAGTCTCGTGGCTCGGGGAAAATCCCAACAGGACGGCTGCGCCATCTTCGTGCGGGCGGGTTTGAGCGCCACTGGGTACTCCTTCCGCTTGCGGGACGTCGCTGAGAGGCGGCGAATATCACGAGCTCACATGGCTGTTTTGCTTGTTTCAACCATCGCCTTTTTCAACAACTGGCCGTTTTGCCTGGGCGGTTTTGTAGAAAGAAGTATCCCTGGAAAGAATATGACCATGGTTCAAAACCTATGCTACCATTTTGGGGTGAATTATAACGACCTCACACAACCTCACCCCAAATGGTGGTTTATGTGGGGAATGGCCCCCAACCACCTTATTTCAGGCTGGTGAAATATTATAATTCACCCAGACCATTTTTGGGTAAGTGCACCACTTACTTTAGAACCTACTTTAGTGGGGATTGGGATGTTCACTGGGGTACGATTTGGATTTTGACCCATGGCCACATGGGAATTCCCCTTGGGCTTGCTCTAAAAGGAATTTCCCTCTCACGAATTAACATGGAACCTGGCGTTCCCACTCCCCCCTGCCCACTAAACCGCCCCCGCCGCCCCGGCACCCCGCCGCTTCCGCGCTTCCCGAGAGGCACTTCCCTGCCGCGCTGGAGAAGCGCAGCGGCGGCGGCCTCGCGGCGGCCGCGCGCTCGGGCCGTGACGTGCTCGTGGTGAAAGGAAGTGGCCGGTTTTTCGGCGTAAGGGTGGTTAGAAAGGTCCAGGGTTGCGGGATCAAGGGGTTTTACCCCACTTCTGTGATACAAGGGAATCTCCCCCGTTATGTGGTGGGTTAGTCTTTGGGAAGCCCTTGTTGTTGTATCACAGAAGTGGTCATTTCCCACAGCCCTGGAAAGGTCTATTTTATGGTTCCAAGATGGGTAGAGAACAACTATTTCCACAGCGCAACGGATCGCAAACGGACCGCAAACCTCTGGAGGTTTCCATGCATCAGCTGAAGTTTAGGGTTCTTGGGCTTTCTTGCTATGTTGGGGCTCCGAATCGCACAACGTGACATATACAACTTGAAGGGCAACACAGGTGAGCCACAATCAAAACTCCGATAGATGAAGGTTAGGGACGCTTCCAGCCAGAAACAGCTGCGGAATTCTGCCTTGAAGCCTGGTTCTGGGTCAACCATTTTGCAAGAAAGACACCGGAATCACCTTGAGAGGGGGGAAACCAGCTATTTGTCCAATCAGGGAATTAGAGTTCATGTACCTCTCTGGGTTCGTTTGGTTTCCCATGGTGTCCCCAAATATACAACTTGAAGGGAAACCCAGGTGAGTCACAATCAAAACTCGGGTAATTAGAGGGTGGGACAATCCCGGTCAGTGGGTGCGGACTTTCCGCCTTGGTAATTCTTACAGCGCCTGGTTCTCTGGTTCTCCTAAATCGACCAGCCAAAGGATGCCCTTTTTGCCCGTGGAAATTTCCACTGGGCGTAGCGTACAACTTGAAGGGAAGCACCAGGGTCTTCGCTTACCACCTTGACTATTTACACGTTGGGTCACCCTGGTAAGGGGTTGAGTTGGGCTGGGGGTTGAGGTGGGGGCTTCAGGTGTGTTGGAGAGGGTGGAATTGGGGGTGGATGCGGGTCTGGGGGTTCACCACTTACTTCCATTTGCTGAAATGAATATCTTTTATTTTCCCTTGGTTTTTAAAGGAACTTATCACTACTGGACATATTTTCTTTCTATTTTTTTCCATGGCTCGTTAGGTCGCCCGCACCAAACGGGGCCCCAAACCCCCCGGGCGAGGCTCGAAGAGCCAAATGGAAGCTTCGCTTATCCGCACCTTGGAGGCCCCTTTCAAGCGCCGGTCGCGAGGCCCTTTGGCGTGAGCTCCACGAAAAGCTGAGCCTCGCAGTGGCCCCTTGGGCCGTCAGAGAGGGCGAGACCCGTCTGAGTTGGGTGCCCAATGGTGCGATGATAGGCAGGTTTATTTTTTAGACATGGAATTTCACAGGTGTCCTTTTTTGGTTTGGTTCAAACATATTTTGGGGCGATTCCTGGTAAATTTGGTGGTTCAATCAGCTACCTGGGAAACCCATCTATTTTCAAGCAAAATGGACACCGAGACAAACCATCCAAGGAAACATCGAACGCGTGTTTTTTGTTTTGTTTCGCCATTTGGGTGCTCTGATTCTAGAAAAAGACGCGCCCCCCCATGTGTGTGTCTGCTTTTTAAGACCCGAATCTTGGGAAGGCCCTCAAAGTCCGAACCCTGCAGATCCAACCTCCAAAGCAATGATGCTTAGGTGTTTTTCCCCCCAAAACCTTTGATGAAATCAGACAAAACTCTGACTCGTGCCCACCAACCACTTTCGAGGTAGTCCCCGCTACTTCATGCCCATTTTTGTCGTCACGGCGAAACATGTTGAACCATTTTAAAGCATTTCTTGTGGTTGAGTGGTTGAAATCCAACTCCACTGAACTGCTAAAATTTGAGAATTTTTGCTCCCCTAACCCAACGTCAACCAAGCTTTATCCATTTTGTTTCTCTGAACACCTCAGCCAAGCAGCTACCAGGAGTTTTGGAAGCACATGGTAATTGATCAGGTGAGCAATCAAAACCGATTCGGGTAGATGATCCGGTTAGTAAGGGACAATCCCCTGGCCACAAGTAGCTGCGGATATCCGCTTTCTTGATTCTTGAAGCATGGTTCTGGGATTACGACCATTTTACTACCGGGTTTTGATTATGACTCCGGTGGCTATTAAATGAGGACCCCCGGCCTTGGTGTTCTCGCGGGCTTACCCCACACGTTGATACCCCGAGGCTGTAGACGTGGAGAGCGACCAAAGGCGGCGCGCGCCGGCTCGCCATGGTGAGTTTTCTCAAATGCGCAGTGTCCACCGATTCTTGTTTTTTTTTTTTTTTCTTTCTCCATAGCAGGTGAGCCACGTGCTCAAAACCGATTCGGGTAGATGATCCGGTTAGTAAGGGGCGATCCCCTGGCCATAAATAGCTGCGGAATTCCGGCTTCTTAGTCCTTTACATGGTTCTGGGTAGACCATTTTAGTACCAGGTTTTGATTATGACTCAGGTGGCTCTACCAGGTCTCATGGGGTTATAGAAAGGACTATAATATAAACCCATTTTGAGCATGGTGGTGGAGCGCCTTTGTGTCATGTGCTTGGTTTGCTTGCAGCATGTAGGCACGCCTGCGTCCCTTTGCGGATTCGTTGTGGCCGGGGTGTTTTAACAGACCTCATCTCTGGGATCTCCAAGACTATTTGAGATACTGTGGATGGGCGAGATCCATTTCGCACCACCTAAGAAAAACCCTGGAATGAAAATCGATTCCCCTGTACATGCCAACAAACGTTAGGGTTTCAACCATGGCTTCCAAGTGGTGCGATTTCTGGATTTCGCAACCATCCACAGTAGGGTAGACCAATCATGAAACAAATCAAAGTTACCCCCCAGATCTGGGCCGAATTTTCGGTTGCGCATCCCATTGGGGCCTTCGGGCCACCCCGAAGAAGACGCGCACCCCTCTCCCCCCAAGGAGAAGCAAGGCCACAGAGCGGCAAAAATGTCACTACTGGGTTGCCCCAGCTAGGTGCCCTTCTTAACCCTTTTTTTCTGGGAGATTCGGTTTTTCCGTACTAAAATAGTCTCCAGGAAGAAGTTGGTACCCTTACTACCTAGACTAAAGAATATCCTTCACAGGCGGTCGGTGGACATTTGTGATGTCCACCGAAGGTCCCAGAAAACAAGTACTTGCGTGTTCGGCCATGTTACTACTGTAAATTGTTGGTGAGCTGGGTCACAACCCACTACTATGTCACCCTAAGTAGGACCTAGTTTTTTGTAGGTTATGACCCAAGTGGCTAGCCACTTGCCAACTTAGCCTTCCATTGCCGTTTCATACTATTTCACATCTTTCCCTCGTTGGTTTTGAAGGGAATGGATTTCAGTTCTGGACATGTTTTCTATTTGTTTTCAGGCGAAAAAGGAAATGGGTGTGGGTCAAAACTAAACCACCAGGGGACTGCCTGGTTTAGTCATGGGTTCCATTTACCAGGGTTACCCATTTTTGACCCACAGCCAAATGGAAGCGGCGAATCGAGCGTGGGCGCTCGGCTCTCCCACCAGGAAGTTCTGCGATGCTGGGCCGCACTTTGATCGCAGAGTGCCATCGGAGGGAAGTTGATGGGCGGGATTTGGACGAGTTACCTTTAGGGAAGCCGGGAAGCCAGCTTCCCACCACCCAAACCACTTCCACGATTGTGGAGGGGCAACCTTGGCTCATCCCCAGTAATGCAGACCCCGGATTAATAAACCGGCCCCCCCTCCCCCCCCCCCCCCCTCAAGGTCACAAGGTCAGGTCTGTCATTTTTTTGAGGGCCCCCCCCTAATAGTGGGAAGGGAAGGTTAGGTCAGGGAACCTTGTGGGAAGGTCAGGTGAGGGAACCTTGTGGGAAGGTCAGGACCTTGTGGGAAGGTCAGGTGAGGGAACCTTGTGGGAAGGTCAGGACCTTGTGGGAAGGTCAGGTGAGGGAACCTTGTGGGAAGGTCAGGACCTTGTGGGAAGGTCAGGTGAGGGAACCTTGTGGGAAGGTCAGGACCTTGTGGGAAGGTCAGGTGGGGGAACCTTGTGGGAAGGTCAGGACCTTGTAAGAAGGTCAGGTGGGGGAACCTTGTGGGAAGGTCAGGACCTTGTGGGAAGGTCAGGTGAGGGAACCTTGTGGGAAGGTCAGGTGAGGGAACCTTGTGTGGGAAGGTCAGGTGAGGGAACCTTGTGGGAAGGTCAGGCGAGGGAACCTTGAGGGAAGGTCAGGTGAGGGAACCTTGTGGGAAGGTCAGGTGAGGGCACCTTGTGGGAAGGTCAGGTGAGGGAACCTTGTGGGAAGGTCAGGTCAAGTGAGGAAACCTTGTGGGAAGGTCATGACTTGTGAGGCCAGGGAACCTATAGAATGGATTTAAAGCAATCAGAGGGGTCTTTGAAGGCTTTTGGAGAACATGGTTGATTAATAGGGGGTGCCAAATTTTAAGAATTTTGATGAGTAATTAGGGAGCTTGAAGGTAGCTTGTGAAAAAGTCAGGTCAGGGAACCTTGCAGGAAGGTCAGGTCAGGGAACCTTGTGGTTGTGGGAACCTTGTGGGAAGGTCAGGTGAGGGAAACTTGTGGGAAGGTCAGCATGTAAAGCAAGCAGAGTTGTAGTTCTCTGGTTGATTAATAGGGGGTGCCAGAAGAATTTGGGGGGCTTGAAGGTCAGGTGAGTGGGAAGGTCATGACTTTTGAGGCCAGAGGGTTTTTTGGAGGCTGTTGGACGGTTGATTAACAGGGGGTGCCAAATCTAAGAATTGTTGATGAATAAGTAGGGAGCTTGAAGGTAGCTTGTGAAAAAGTCAGGTCAGGGAACCTTGTAGGAAGGTCAGACCAGGGAACCGTTCAGGTGAGGGAACCTTGTGGGAAGGTCAGCATTTAAAGCAATCAGAGTTGTATCTCTTTGGTTGATTAATTGGGGGTGCCAAATCTAAAGAATTTGGTGGTCTTGAAGGTAGCTTGTGAAAAAGTCAGGTCAGGGAACCTTGTGGGAAGGTCAGGTCAGGGATCCTTGTGGTTTGTAAGAAGGTCAGGCGAGGGAACCTTGTGGGAAGGTCAGCATTTAAAGCAATCAGAGAGTCCTTTGATTAATAGGGGGGTGCCAAATCTAAGAATTGTTGATCAGTAATTAGGGGGCTTGAAGGCAGCTTGTGAAAAAGTCAGGTCAGGGAACCTTGTGGAAAGGATGAAACGCAATCAGAGGGGCCTTTCTATGGTTGATTAATCGGGGGGGCCAAATCAAAGAATTTGGGGGCTTGAAGGTAGCTTGTGAAACCTATGGTTGATTAATAGGGGGTGCCAAATCTAAGAAATGTTGATCAATAATTAGGGGGCTTGAAGGTAGCTTGTGAGAATTGGGCGGAGTAGAGTACGACGTGGACTCGAACCCCAGCGCCTTTAGTGGAGAGAGAATGTCTTTGCCAACTAGACTGAGCAGTCTTGACCACATGGCATCAAATAAGGTTATCTGCCATTACCCAGGACCATTTTCCACTTAGCGGTTTATTATTATGGGGGTGCGCACCTTTGGGCTGGAACCTTGGGGTCCCAGAATGCACCTTGGTGGAACTGGAAGGCATTGTGGCACCAAAACAAAGCCAAGAAGAGCTTGAAACCCAAGGCGTGGCCAAAACCAGCCACAGAGACATTGTGATACTAAATGGAAGGCAACAAGGGTTTGAAAGCCACAAGCTTTCAACATCCAACCCAAGGCAGCCAACAGTGGTTCAAACCAGCCCAGCGACACCAGCAGAGCTAGTGTGACACCAAAACAAGGCCAACAACAGCTTGGGAGCCACAAGCTTTCAACATCCAACCCAAGGCAGCCAACAGTGGTTCAAACCAGCCCAGCAACACCAGCAGAGATAGTGTGACACCAAAACAAGGCCAAGAACAGCTTGGGAGCCACATATAGTGAAAACAAGCTTGATTATTATTAGGGGGGTGTCACCACTTTTTGTGCAAAACCATAACTGTGCTGATCTTTCTGCTTGCCAAGACCAACATTATCCGGCAAAGGTTATGTTCTTGCCAAAAGTGGCAAGCACCCCCCTAATAATAATCAAGCTTCTTCTCATTATCTGTGGCTCCCAAGCTGTTGTTGGCCTTGTTTTGGTGTCACTATCTCTGCTGGTGTTGCTGGGCTGGTTTGAACCACTGTTGGCTGCCTTGGGTTGGATGTTGAAAGCTTGTGGCTCCCAAGCTGTTGTTGGCCTTGTTTTGGTGTCACAAGCTCTGCTGGTGTTGCTGGGCTGGTTTGGGCAACTGTTGGCTGCCTTGGGTTGGATGTTGAAAGCTTGTGGCTTTCAAGCCCTTGTTGCCTTCCATTTAGTATCACAATGTCTCTGTTGGTGTGGGTGGGCTGGTTTTGGCCTGCCGTATGTTGAAAGCTTGTGGCTTTTAGTATAAAAATGTCTCTGTTGATTTTGGCTGGTTTTGGCCACTGTTGGCTGCCTTGGGTTTCAAGCTCTTTTTGGTGCCACAATGTCTTCCAGTCTTGCCCGGGCTGTTCCACAAAGTGCATTCTGGGACCCAATTCCCAAGGTCCAGCCCAAAAGGTGCGCACCCCGATAATAATAAACCGCTAAGTGGAAAATGGTCCTGTGTAAGGACAAATAACCTTATTTGATGCCATAAGGTCAAGGGTGTTTAGTCTAGTTGGCAAAGATATGCTCTTCACTATGGAGAGAACCTGGGTTCAATTCCCAGTGGCGCCTTCTTTCCAACAAAGGATCAGCAAAGGAAGGCAATTTTGGCTGGCATGGCATTTTGCAATAACTTTTGGAGTACTTGGATCTTTCAGTTTCCATCAATTTGTTTGGTTTCCTTGAGAAGTTGAAGTTTGATTATTAATAGGGTGGTGCTGGCTTTACTAATGGGGGGGTGCTGCTGTTGCAGGTAAAAAAGGAGCTGGTGTGCAAAAGCAGGGCATCAAACATGGTAGATTAATAGGGGGGTGCTGGCTTTACTAATGGGGGGGTGCAAAAGCAGGGCATGGTAGATTAATGGGGGGTGGCTTTACTAATGGGGGGGTGCTGCTGTTGCAGGTAAAAAAGGAGCTGGTGTGCAAAAGCAGGGCATCAAGCATGGTAGATTAATAGGGGGGTGCTGGCTTTACTAATGGGGGGGTGCAAAAGCAGGGCATCAAACATGGTAGATTAATAGGGGGGTGCTGGCTTTACTAATGGGGGGGTGCTGCTGTTGCAGGTAAAAAAGGAGCTGGTGTGCAAAAGCAGGGCATCAAACATGGTAGATTAATAGGGGGGTGCTGGCTTTACTAATGGGGGGGGTGCAAAAGCAGGGCATCAAACATGGTAGATTAATAGGGGGGTGCTGGCTTTACTAATGGGGGGGTGCTGCTGTTGCAGGTAAAAAAGGAGCTGGTGTGCAAAAGCAGGGCATCAAGCATGGTAGATTAATAGGGGGGTGCTGGCTTTACTAATGGGGGGGTGCAAAAGCAGGGCATCAAACATGGTAGATTAATAGGGGGGTGCTGGCTTTACTAATGGGGGGGTGCTGCTGTTGCAGGTAAAAAAGGAGCTGGTGTGCAAAAGCAGGGCATCAAACATGGTAGATTAATAGGGGGGTGCTGGCTTTACTAATGGGGGGGTGCAAAAGCAGGGCATCAAACATGGTAGATTAATAGGGGGGTGCTGGCTTTACTAATGGGGGGGTGCTGCTGTTGCAGGTAAAAAAGGAGCTGGTGTGCAAAAGCAGGGCATCAAACATGGTAGATTAATAGGGGGGTGCTGGCTTTACTAATGGGGGGGTGCAAAAGCAGGGCATCAAACATGGTAGATTAATAGGGGGGTGCTGGCTTTACTAATGGGGGGGTGCTGCTGTTGCAAGTAAAAAAGGAGCTGGTGTGCAAAAGCAGGGCATCAACCATGGTAGATTAATAGGGGGGTGCTGGCTTTACTAATGGGGGGGTGCAAAAGCAGGGCATCAACCATGGTAGATTAATAGGGGGGTGTTGGCTTTACTAATGGGGGGGTGCTGCTGTTGCAAGTAAAAAAGGAGCTGGTGTGCAAAAGCAGGGCATCAAACATTGTAGATTAATAGGGGGGTGCTGGCTTTACTAATGGGGGGGTGCAAAGCAGGGCATCAACCATGGTAGATTAATAGGGGGGTGTTGGCTTTACTAATGGGGGGGTGCTGCTGTTGCATGTGCAAAAGTTGGGCAAGTTAAAATTAGATTAAAAACGCATGATGTAGCGGGGGGTTTGGGGGAGGGGAGCTTTAATAGGGGGGGGTTTCGGGCAAAATTTTTTGTTATTGTGGGGGTGCCAGGGCAAATTCCTGGGTTTCAATTAAAACGAGTATTGGCGAGGGATTTTCCAGGAAAACCAGGCGCTTTAATAGGGGGGGGTTTATTAATCCTGGGTCTGCATTAGTGCCCTTTTACTCTTGTTTTTTTGGTTCCCCTACTCAAATAGATCACAGAAAAAGGGTACCCTTATTCTAACCCTTTTTACTGGAGGACCTAGTGTTGGTTCATGTTTATTTCTTTGAAGACTTCCTTTGGTTCAAGCCAAGTGCTTGGTGACTTCAGTTTTGTTCAGGTGTGGGTTTGCTCCCAATGGGGACTTCTTCTTGTCTTCCCCACAAAACCTTCCAAAAGGGGTACGTACGTTCCCGTTCAGCGGGGCACACATAACCAGATCCAACTAATTTCGTCTTGGATCTGCTAGCCATGGTTAACCTCCCTCCCTTCCTCCCTTCCTCCCTCCCTTCCTCCCTCCCTCCCTTCCTCCCTTCCTCCCTTCCTCCCTTCCTCCCTCCCTCCCTCCCTCCCTCCCTCCCTCCCTCCCTCCCTCCCTTGCCCTCCCCCCCCAAAAAAAAGAAGACAAGAACAGCCCATAGGTTTTCCCTCTACTCCCCCCTCCCCCACAAAAAAATAAATGAAAAGAGAGCAGGTCTCTTTTTTTTTTCCGGCGTTCAACAAAAATCTTTAAACCTGGTCACCCAGGTGGCCACCAGCCACCTCTACTGGGACCCCCGCTATCCAGACTTGAAGCTCTTGCAGGCCTTCCGCTCGGATCGATCGGGCCATCGCCTTTGGCCGCTCCGATCGGGTGGGATCGAACCACTTACCCCCTACTCCAAATACCCACATGTTTCTAGGGTATTTTGTGAAAAACCGATCGGGTTTCCATGGTAAATACCTTCTTTTTTAGTAGAGGGTCGACATCATACCCTAGAAAAAGGCCGGGGATTTGGAGTAGGGTATGCGGTTTACTTGGGAAGGACCGATTTCCGGGGGAACTTCAAAAAAACCAGGGGTATGCAGAAATTCCCAAAGAAAACCGATAGCTTCACTATGGGCTGTGTTGTCTGATTGCTTAAGGATGAAGGAGCCCCAGAAGGAGAGCCGCCCTTTCCCCCTTTCCCCTTCCCCAGTTTTTAGCTCCCCTTTTTAAGCTTCTTTTTTTCGGTTGCGGTTTTGGGGTCCCTTTGTTTTCCACGAACCAGGCAAACATATATATATATATATATATATATTATTTTTTTTGCTGGGTCCTTTTTCCAGCCAAGTTAGGTGACTTGGGTTATCTTGCGATTGGTGCGAGAGATGCAGGGAATGAGACATGGCTCATGACCCTAACCACCCAACTGGTGGTTTCCTTTAAGGGGAGGGCACCAGCAAGTGCTCTTCAGAGTTCCAGAAGCTAACCCATTTGATGCTACAGGACGTGCAGTGTTTTGTTTTTTCCACTGAAGCAAAGAACAGATGTGGACCCCGGATTCAGAAACCCGCCCCAATAAAAATATGTTCCTTCCAAAAGTGAAGGGAATGCTGCAGGACATGTGGGGGTTGATCTCAAAAACTCCGGTAAAACAAGTTTCTTCTGGTCATTTGGGCGCCGAACGAAATATTGATCAACCCCCATGTTTTGTTGTTGTTGTTGTTTGGTTTTTTTCCACTGAAGCAAATGGGGGTAAGGGTTGCTTCAGGAAGCTGAACCAATCAAAAGCTGAATGTGAACCGATGGGTTCCTTGGTTTCAACCACCGATTTCGGATGCCCTGCCCAGAAAGGTGCAGCAATCAGCCCTGCGGCCCAAAGACCCCAACCATCCAACCCATAAAGACCTTATTTGGCCGTATTTTCGCCGGGCCTTTTGCCCAGAACCGGAAGGGACCTCTCCAACAGACCCTGATGGTCTCTTCACCCCGCAGAGGTACATCTCAATTAGGTGTCCTTTGTATTCAGAGTTGAGAAACAAGGGGTTGTCCCTGGCGGGCCTAGTGGTTGAATTTCATCCACCAGGGAACCCCTTTTTTTCCACGATGACTCCTATGGTTGCAAGGGGTTGAACTGAGGCTTGACTACGGGAATGAGCCGAGTCGACTTGAGCCAGGGTGGTTTCCTGAACGGAAATCCCCATGCCCAAAACCTCGATCCAGGGCGGAATGATTGGAGGCCCTCATTGACCTTTTTGAGGCGACTTGGCCCCGAAATCTCTTTGGCCTTTGAGCGTGTTTGGTTTTAAACCAATCAAAGCTTGGCGGTTCCCAGCCATCCGGTACCTTAGCCTTTTGGGTTTCTAGTGTTTAGGAGTTGGGTTTCCGAATTTAACCCACCTAAAAGTTATTTTCACTCTTAGCGGGCGGATCTGAAAACGCCCAGCCCAGTAAGGGGCACAATTGGCCAGGACAGTTTTGAGTGAGGACCCCAAGGAATCTCTCAAATCGCGGACATACAGCAAGCCGTCCTTGACGTTGACCACATAAAAGACTCCCAGCCCCCAGGAAAATCAACGTAGATGTGGAATTCCCGATGTGGGCAAGGGCACGCCAAAGCCAGACCAAAAACCAATGGGTACCCCTAAACCCGCAAAAGACCCCCCAAAAAATTCCCCAAGAAAGGCATATATCATATGGCTATGAGTTTCGAGAGGAAACCACTTCTGGACGGAAATCCCCACATGTCCTCCCATTCGAAGAAACCAAGAGGTGTCCTATGTCCTTCATGTTCGATGGCCGAAATCCAGTTCGCACCACTTTGTTTCCATGGGACGCCCCGTATTTGCGTGGCGGAATCGAGCCGTTCCGGGAGGTCTGAAGCTGGCGCGAAATGGATTCCGTCCAAGGTATGGCTCTGTGTGTTTTGGAAGGTACCCTTTGATTCGATGGGTGATGAACACCAGTGTCTATGCCAAGCTCGGAATTCCCGGGGTTCAAGCCCTGTTCTCTCGACGAGCCTTTTTCCACCCTATGGCAGACTTGATTTCAAGAGTTGGTAACCTCCCCAAGAAGAAATCAGACCCGTTTTTCTGACCATAGGTTTTAATCCCCCCTTAAACCCCCGGAAAAAGGGTACACTCAAACAGAGACACACCTTCCTGTGCATCTGCTGAGCAGGGCATGAGAATTGGAATGACCCCCAAAAAAACATTTACCCTATGGTGTCCTTTATTCGGGAATCCCAAAGGGTTCATTCCATTTCCCCATTCCATCTAGCTTTTTTGTTTCCGCACCGATTTTGCACGTTTTTCACGTTTAAAAAACTCTTTCAACCATCCGCTATGGTTTCCTTTATTCGGGCAATCCCCAGGTCCATTCTCTTTCCCCTTCCCCACCTACTCAGCACCGATAGCAAAGCGGGATGATCCGAATGTTTTTTTTCCTTTTTCTCGGAGGCGTATCTGCTGGCTGCCGAGCTGCGGCAGCGCACCGCGCGGGATGCGGCGCTGGTGTTGGCAGGGGACTTGAACAGCGGCTCGGCGGGTTTGGCTGAGGGCGCGGGGGAAGGGGTGGGCTGGGTGGGGGTGGGGGTTGGAGTTGGGGGTTGGGGTTGGGGGTTGGGGGTGGTGGGGGGGTTGGGGTGGGACTTTGGCTGGAGACGGTGCGGTTTTGGGGCGTGGAGGTTTAGGGACTCCTTTCTTTTCAACCATGATTCTTTTCTACAGAATGGCCGAGGAGGGGGGGTGCTTTGAGCAGATCAACGGGTACCGCACCCCGAAAGAGAAATAGGGGAGCCCTACAAATGGAGTTCACTTGGGGTTCACTTGTGCCATGGGGTTTACTTGGGGTTCACTTGTGCCATCATCAAAATCTGGGTAGATGAAGGCTAGTAAAACAAAAAGAACACAAAAACCGCACGCACCGGGGGCAACACCACGCACCCAAGCCTCGTCAAAAACACGCACCCAGCGGGAAATAGCGGAACCCTCAAAATGGGCTTTAGTGAAAACCCATGTTTTTCTTTCGGGCTGATCTCAAACCATCCCCCCCAAAGACCCCAGACCGACCTTCAGCCTTACTTGGCCTTGACCCTCTATTTCTGTTTGCCCCCTGTGCAAGGATCAACCCATTGCAGCTTACAGCGGGTAAATCGGGCGCATCCGGGCTCAGGGCGACGGTTCAAAGCCATGGGTGGAGACCTTTGGTTGACGTGTTTGCTCGTCTTTGCTCTTGGGGGGGTGACCCCCAAAAATGGGGAGGTGGGTTTTGCTGTTGGCGGTCCTTGGAAATCGCCAGACAGGAGAAGGTACCCTCCAAAAAAAAGCATAGCCATGGTTGCTTTAGTTTTGGTTCCTTCGGGGTTTCCTTTGCCCTCCCACCAACTGACATGCATAGTGCACAAGCCCCCCTTTCCAAGAGGAAAGTCGTCTTTCTGTAGGGGTCCGAAGGCACTTCCATGTTACGCAGTCGCTGGGAGCAGACCCAAACTTCTTCCAACGTCCGATCGCATCGGTCGAGTCGGGTTCGTCCACCTGAGCCACAATCAAACTCCGGGTAGATGAAGGTTCGTAAGGGACGATCCCAGCCATAAATAGCCGCGGAATTCCGCCTTCTTAATCCTGTACATGGTTCCGGGATTACGACCATTTTAGCACCCATTTCGGTTCTGATTGCGACTCACTCACCCATTCTCATGGGCTCTGGGTGCTCAAGAGGTCCTATGTTTTTCATATTTCCAGAGGCTCCACTTCGTATCGAAGGGGCCGACTGGGGGAAGCGGGAAGCCGAGGCACGCCCTTGTGCGACGGCCGCTCGGAGGGCGAGGGCCTGCGCTCGGGGGTCTACGAGCTGCTGACCCGAGGCGCGCCTCCGCTTTTCCGGTGTGGGCACCGCCGCTTGCTGGGAGGGCTGGAGGGCTGGAGGTTTGTCCTCCGCCGCAAGGCCAAATTTGGGGTTTTGGGCTTTGTTGAGGTACCAGGGTCTCCTTCGAAAACGATCTTGTGAGGTAGAGTTTCAGGGCAGGATATCAGCTTCTATGGTACAGGTTTGTCTCCAGTTGGGAGTAATGCAAGGTTTGAAATTAGTAGTAGTTTCCTCGCTGGCTTTCCGGCGCAATAGCTGACCGCCAATGGAGAACCCGGTTGCGACTCTTCACCAGCGAACTGTTTGAGGAGCTCAAAACCAATCCAAAAGGGGCCTTCGGGTCATAGTTTACTGCCACATCTGGTCAAAAGCGGCAAAGGGGTCGTGGATGAGCGGCTATTTGTCGAGATGCTCATTAGATGCTGGTTGCAGGGTTCGCTGCAGTCTTTTGTGTCCCCAACAAACATCCGCAAAGATGTTCAAAGGTACGGTAATGCTTAAACTAAAAGGCCCAAAGGCAACGCCCTTTCAAAAGGCACCGTAGTGGCTAAACCAAAAGGGCCCAATGGTAACGTCCCCTTCAAACGCCGCAGATGTTCAAAAGGTAATGTAATGTTTAAACCCAAAGGCCGCAAAGGTAACGTCTCTGAAACGCCCCCCACAGATGTTCACAAGGCTGTAATGGTAGTAATGCTTAAACCAAAAGGCGCAACAGGACATTTTTTTACTGGCAGGCCACCAACTGTGAAACCACCCAAAGGGTGATCCGAAAGGCCAAGGCCCAAATATCGCCCCACGGGCCATGGGAAATTTGTGGGGTGCGTGCCCCGCAAGAGCGATGTGGATTCCCACTAAAAGGGCACATTTCCCCCCTACTGTGGATGGACGAAATCCGTTCGCACCTCGAAATGAAACCATGGGAAACCATTGTTTAGTGGTTTTTGCAGGGACATGATCATTCCAGGGTTTCTTTGGTAGTGCAGGATTTTGTTTATCCACGCTATTACTCAACAAGGGGTTATTAGTCTGTTAATCTGGGGTTCCTAGTCATGTGTTTAAACCCCGCAAAGGGGACTCTACGATTGCACCTGGCAGATGGGCCCCAAGAGCGATCCGGATCCCTCTATGTATCTGGGTTACCACATTGACCAACCCGTGTGCTGGTAAGGGGTTGAGTTGGGCTGGGTGGGGTTGAGGTGCGGGCTGAAGGTGTCTTGGAGAGGGTGGAATTGGGGTGCCCAGAGGGTTTGGGGCTTTCAATGAAAGACCCCGACTCCTCCCAAAACGACACCCCGGAGGTGTTTGGGACCCGGTCTCAAAGCCTGGCTGTTTGAGGGCCCTAAATACACTGGGTGGATGCGAATCTGGGGGTTCACCACTTACTTCCATTTGCTTAAGAATACTGTTTCCCCCTTGTTGGTTTTTAAAATGAACTTATCACTACTGGACTATTATTATTGTTTTTATTATGTTTTTTTTCTACATTTTTTCTTACATTAGTTTCTTACATTTTTTACAGTCTGTTCTGTATCCCCACATGTCTCCCTTACATTATTATTATTGTTATTTGTTCTTACATTTCTTCCCGGGCTCGAAGAGCCGAATGGAAGCTTCGCTTTTATCCGCACCAAACGGGGCCCCAACCCCTCGGGGCGAGGCTCGGTGGATGTGCAGCACCCGCACCACCCGGCGGCGTTGCGGCGGGGCAAGGGCATCCTGCGGGGCATCGCGCCGGAGGACCGGCAGGGAGGCACTTGCTCCGCGAGCGGCGCCCTTCGCTCCCCGAATCTGAGGTGTTTTTTGGCTGAAAAAGGTCAACCCCTTTTTTGGGTTGGGAGGGTTTGCCCCTTTTTTGGGGGGGTTTGAGGGGTCCCCGTGTCTAAAATAGACAAAACTGGAAGAATAGGGTACCAACTTATTCTATCCTCTCAAATCTGGAGGAAGGGAGGTTGGCACATGCGGTGGATGCGGTGGACGCCATGGCTGCGAGTCCTTTTTCTTTTGAGGCCTGGAACCCGTTTTTGGTGGGTTTCATAGGGAAGCCACATGGAAAACACCTTTTCTTATTGTTTTTTTGTGTGGGGGGAGGGCGGTTCCCCCATGTAGAGACACCAACTGTTGCAAGGGAACATTCGTGCACCCACTAAGTTCGTATGGTTTTGTGGTTGTTCGTGTGGTTGGTTTACATATATAAAAGGGTGCCCTCAAAAAATACAACAGCGCCAGTCGGGATTGGAGGGTCCATTCCAAGTGGTGCCGATAAGCGTGGATTTGTTCCATCCACAGCATGGAACCTCAACCGGAGCGAGCAGAACGACCAATAGATGCTTGAGGGTCAACTTCTAGGTCCCCCAGTAGGGCCCTGTTACCCTTTTTTTGGGGGGAGGGTTCACCTACTGAAATGGACTACGGAAAAAGGGCACCCTTATTCTAGCCTCTCTACTGGAGGACCTAGACTTCTTCGGAAACTCTTCGGGTTTTGGGCATGACCCCCTTTTTGAACCATCTCGTGGTTTCCTTTAACTCCAGTTCATTCCCAAAACCACAGGTGATTCCCTTCTGACCGTTTAGCTCTAACCATCTATCTACTTAGACGGTAAGCGAAATGCTTCCTACCCGTTTTGGTTTTTAGGCTTACAACCATGGCTTTGGTGGGTTACAACTCCATGGTCGCTGACCACCCAATTTGTTCCGGACCGGGTGGAAGGCCCAGGGTTGGTCGTGGACTACGTTACAGGAGGACCTTTACTTGACTGCTATTGGGCAACGGATCTTTAGACTTTAACTTTTTGGGAAATCAATAAATTTTCCACTAAACCCCCAAAAGGTTAAACTTTTTGCAGGGGGGTCAACAGCAACCAAGTTTATGGAGATTCCAGGAAGGGAATCCAGCCTGCAGAGGTTGATTATCTCCTTCAAAACCCCCTAATTGGACCCTCCCCCCCCAACCGCAAAGGTCTAGTTTGACCTTCTGTGGTCCTATTGAGGCTTATCAGCCCACGGGGCTTGGTAGAGTCGGGGAACCCTTTTTCATGGGGGGATTGTCCTTGGGTTTCCCTTCAAAGCCGCCAGAGTTCAAAACAGGGATACCAAGCAAAAAGCGCCTAACCAGGACTCCCCGTGGAATATGCGAGTCACTAGTGGGTGAAGCAGGGTCCTTCAGGAGAGTTGCATCCTGAGTCCTTGTTGTTTTTTTTCCTTGTTATTTCTTCTTCTTTATTTTTCTGGGAAGGAAACCAAATGTATAGTTCCCTAATTTGGTGGTTTGGATTGGTGGGGATTTGAACCGCTGGTTCTTGTAGAAGGTAAATGGCAGACTGTCCTTAACCACCAAGCTCCCAATCCAAACCACCAATTAAAGGGAAGCTGGTCTACTGCTTCATTCCTACTAATTGAGAGATTCCGTTTTAGTGATCCTTATCATGTAACTCTAATGCTTTACAACACGCTACTAAAAGGTACTGCTTCTAAAATAGGCCACTCAAATAGGATTCTACAGTCAATAAGATACGAAGCATTCATCATAGATTCCCCATAAAACCAACATGGGAAACATAAACAGCTATTCTTCAACAAGTGGAAGTTCGTGGAGCTTGTTTTTTTCCCCCTCAACCCAAAGAATTCGTTGGAGGGAAGCGAAAGGACGTGCCGGACTTCCAAGTCCCTAGCTTTCGCAGCGCCGCGCTAGACGCCTTTGGCGGCTCGGAGAAACTTTTCGGCGGCTGTGATTGATAGGGAGGGAATGACTTACAACGAGTTTCCGGGTATCGGTTGAAGGAATGAACCGGTTTCGGATTCGGATTCGCGAATAAAGGAAGTTAGGGATGGTTTCAATCGGAAGGGGAACCAAAAGGCAAACCCAGTAGTTTTGACACATACCATTTGAGTTTCGGATAATGTGTTGTGTTCTCCCCTGTTGTGTTTAAAGGGACTCAACCACTGGGAAAAAGTGTTTTGTTTGTTCAGGGGACTCAAGCAAATGTAGGACCGTCAAACTCAGAACTGGAAAATCCAATTTGAGGGTCTTTCAGGTTGGTTTAGGAAGCCAACAGAAAGCCCTGTTGGAGACATGCCTGTGTTTTCTATGGCTACTCTTTTTGAGGCGAACGGAAACCAGTAGGAAAACCGGTCCCCTACCCTCATTTAGGCGGGGTACGCGTTTCTGTCAGCCACTGAGGAAGTTCCCTAAGATTCGTAGCCATGATTTGCCAAAAGAGTCGCTGAAGGCATTTTTGAAATTGAAAGTTGCAATTGAAACTTGAAATTGACATGTGCATTTGAATTGGCATTTCAATTTCGTTGTAATTAAACGGTGCAGTTGAAATTGGAATTGAACGGTGCCACATTTGAATTACAACTCTATGTTAATTTGTTTTGGAGAGCCCCGAATATGAGAGCGAGGCCAGGCTCGGGACATTAGGTTTAGGACTGGCTTAGTACTGCGGATATGCAGGGCTCCTTAAAAGATACATTTTGCCCATTTGAAACGTGGCTTTTTCCACAAAAATAAGGGAAACCACCATTTAAAAGGCAATGTTCAGGTGTAGAATGTAAGGATCCCTGTATATGGTTGGAACCACAACATGTGTTGGTATTTACGCTAGGGACTCCAATCATTCCAGGGATTCTTAAATGGTGCGATTTCCGGATTTGGCAACCATCCACAGTATTGCTTAACTAGAAACCTGCAATGACGATTTGCTTTCCCCATGCTGAGAATTGTAGGTACTGTCCAAAAGCAAACCAGAGCTGGATTTCACAAGCCCAACAAAAGACTATTATCAGTCAGGCTTTGGCTTAATGAGGGCCATTTGAGCTCATTTGGCCTTAGTGAGGCTTATACACTGACCTGGGCGTGTAAAATTGTTGGGACAATTTACAATGGGCAGTTTCCTCTTGGCTTCCCTTTAAGACCACCCAAGGGTACCCTCAATAGCAGACACACCCACCTGAACAAAGGGGGCGTTGGAGTCCGTGAAAAGCACACGTCTCTGGCTTTAAATAGGCGTGTCTTTTTCTGGGGGAGCCCCCGAGAGTGGCTTCGGATTTTCCTTTTTGGCGTGCCTTCCTTCTCGAGCCACGCAGGAAAAAAACAACTTCCAACAAGGCGAGCCACCTGGGCCCTCAACCCTCAAAGCAGGGATCATAGGTGTCCTTTTTGGTGGTCTTGCTAGAAAATTCGATGGGTTTCGATTCCTGGTTTACCTGGTAGTTGAATCACCTACCAGGGAAACCCATCTGTTTCCCCTTTTATAGGGCACCTATGACTGTTGCAAACCCAAGCCCCACTTCGAGCAGGCACGGCATGGCTCCCTGAGGCCAAGAGGCCGTCACCAACATGTCCGCGGACTTCCAGGGGTGCTTGGACTACGTCCTCTACCGAGGCCCGGGTTCGCTTTCTTCACGGAGAGTCGGGGAGTCACCAAAAACGGGCAACCCCTGACCCGGGGGCCCTTGAGTTCCTCTTTGTTTGGAGCTACAAGAGTGGCGGTTTTAGGGAACTCAGCAGTAAATTGCAACTTTTGAAGAGGAAATCCAGCGACCCTGCTTTGCTGGGGTCTCCTCCAATCTGATCTTGGAAAGGATAGACTCAACATGGATCAGAATCATTTGTTTTAAATCTCATCTTTTCGTTCACTGCAGAGATTTCGGCCTTTCGGCTTGAAACTAGACTTCCCTTTGGATTGTGGAGTGTTGGTTTTTGAGGACCCAGCATCTGTGGTCCTAAGTGAGAGCGGGGGGCTTCGTGGAAATGTGATCCGGAGCTTTTTCAACATGGAGCGCCTCCTTATTCTTGACTGTTCTTGGCATGTTGTTTTTCTTCTTTTTTTGGCGTTTTTTTTGGGGGGGAGTTCTGTTCATTTTGTTTTACTGGGGGTCTGCAAAAAACAAAGTTTTTCGCTACCATACCAAGAGTAGAGATGTTATTCTTGAAGGGCCTGATTCTGACACTCCGACACGGAAGGTCATTTGAATGACCCACTTTGGAATCATTCTCCACTGTACGGATCGGTCCCGAAATCAGTGAGGACCGTCAAGGGTAGTTGCTTGATTCCAAGACTGGAGGAGGAAAAGGACACCTTGTCTTGTCCCAAGTTACTTTAGTCACTTTTTGACGGACACACCTTTTTAGTGCCAAAAGCGAAACCCATACTTGGAAGCTAGTTGCATTTTTTTTGGATACCCCATACTGTAGTCACTTTGTATTCAACAATTTTTAGTGGTATTCATGAACAGTTGGTGCTGGATTTCGTCCAGCAGGGAACCCCCTCAAAAGTGGTTGGTGGACACAAACCACCGCCATCCACCATTTCCGGTCCCCAACTCAAGTTCATTCCTAAAACAACCCGCTGAATATATGTGTCAAAATCGTGGAACCTCAAAATGGGCGGGCTTTCCTTTCAGAATCCCCGTCGAATTCCACGGAAAATGGTTTGGGAGGAATCGCGAAATGGTTATTAATCCTAGCAACCCAGTTACCATGGCTTCGGTGGGCTATAATTGTAGTTGCTAACCCCTTGGCCATCTTCCAGACCATCTAAGTTGGTTTACCCAGTGGATTTGAAGCCCTCTGGTGTTTGTGGGGTGGGAAATCGCCAAGCCAGGGGTTGATTCTCCCTTCTTTTTAACATCGTTCTTTTTCTCAAACGCCTGGGTTTTTGCGGGTTTCCTGAAAAAGAAGGACCTCTGGAAAGAAGGGGAAAGCTCCCCTAGAAGGCTCGTTCTTTTCTCCAACAGTCGGCCGTTTCTCCGGGGCTTTTGAGGCTGAGGATGGGGAAGCTGCCCCAAGAACATGGTTGTTGTTGGGAACCATGTTACATTTTTTTGCATGTTGTTGGCTTAGTGGTCGAAATCCCCACCCACTGAACTGCTGAAATTTGGTGGTCAAGAAAAGGTTTGAACTGTTTGTGGCCAGTCAGCTGTTGAAAAGCAAAAGGACACCACCTCATTTTGGTACTGGACGCGTCGTTTAGACGCTCCAGACGGAGCCAGGGCCACTGCGGCTGCTGCGGGCTGAGCTGCCCAGCGCAGTTGGACCGCTGCCCTCCGAGGAGTGCGTTGCTGATTTTTCGGTCCACGGCTTTTCCACTTCCACTTTTTTTTGTTCCCGACCCCTGGAAAAAATAACAAACATATTTCCAGTAGTGAAATCGATTCCCTTTGAAACCAACAGGGGAAAATAAGAAGTAATTATTCTTAAGCAAATGGAAGTCCATGTTGGGCGTGGCAAAGCTCGAGTTGCGTTCCCCGTTTCAAGTCGGATTCAAGGCTAGGTCCCCAGCTAGGTGCCCTTTTACCAACTTTTTGTGGGGGAGGGTTCCCCTAATAAAATAGACTACAGAAAAAAAGGGGCCGCATTCTAACCTCTCTACTGGAGGACCTAGTCGAGTTGCTACCCGTTTCAAGTCGGATTCAAGGGGAGCACTTGGCAACTTACAGACCATGTAAGTACGGGGTTGAAGAAGGTTTAGGGAGGGTTTAGGGTTGCGGGGTGTGCGGGCAAGGCAACCTCTCCCGCCTCTTTCAGCAAACCAGTTGGGACGGGCTTCACCAACGTCCATGTGCCCGTGAGAAACAATGAATCTCTCACTTGCTGAGTTCCGTTTAAGGGACGTCAGTCACTTTTTGGGTTTGGCTGCCATTTTACTGGGCAATTCAAGAGTTTGGTCACTCTTCTTGGACCAATCCACATGAGAAGTGAGAAGTATTGACAGTACATCTTAGATTTTGGGTTGAGCCTCGCCACTCACTCGGAACTGGGGGAACCAACAAGCGAGCTCTTCGGAGCGGGACCTAAAAGAATCGAAGGAGAAGCTTTCTTTGTCACACGGATTTCCCGCGTTTTAGACGGTCAACCCTAAAACCCTCCAATATGCTACGCCCATAAAGGGGGGGGGGAGCGCAGGGAGCCCCAACCCCCCGACTTGTTTTTTCTTCTTCTTTTTTTTTCTTTTCTGGAGGTCTACTCCTCTCGTTTTTTGTTTGTTTTTTTTTGGGGGGGATTTTTCCGACTCGCGGGTCGCGAGTGGGAGCTCTCCTTTTCTCCCTTTCTCCCAGGAGCAAGCGTCCGACCACCTGCCGCTGCTGGCAGAGTTCGAGCTCACGTAAAAAGCAAAATGCGCAAGCGCTGAGTGTGCGGCGAGTCCGACTACAGGCAATTGCCCATTTGGGCTTGTTTTAAAGGGACACCAAAATAAAGCTAACCATTTTGTTGGTAGCCCCATTTTAACACCCATGGAACATCATCCGAACCCATTATTTTTGATGTACCCCAGATTTGGGCCTACGCTTTTGCAGGTGACCGCGTTTTGCTTATTCGCTGAAATGGCCAACCTCGGGAACGAAACGTGGCAAAGAACGTGGGCCAAGAATTAGCAAGTGTTGGAGGCGCTTGAAGGAGGGGAGTACTTTTGTAACCCACAGAACGGGGACTTTCAGCTTGGCGGTTACCAGCCATGCGGTTCCTGGGCTTTTTAGACTTTTAGTTGGTAGAGTGGTTGGGTGTCTGAATTTAACCCACGAAAAGTTATTCAAACTTTTAGCAGGGGATCTGAAAACGGACAGCCCAGTCAGCCAGGGGATCAGTATAACCATGACCAAGTACTTGCCCAGTAACTCACTTCCGTTCATGAGCTTTAAACTTTTTGGGCTTGGACCATTTTCGTGGTAAATATAAAGTTTGGAGTACTTGTTTTGGGGCCGTCCACTCAGCCAGTGAGTTACTCAGCACTTACCAAGTATGCCGCCTTTAGGTGGTAACACCATTCCTTCGTACCGGGGCATTTGTTTGAGGTGTCTACACTGACGTTCACTGTGTTGCTTGTTTCTTTTCTTTTTCTTCTCGCAGCTCTGCTCATTTTAGCTCACCCCTGGTTCTTGTACCCTTAACCACCAAACCACCGGGCTCCAAACCAACCAATTGGAGGGAAGCTGATTAGTTGGGGGGGGGGCTGCAAAGAACTGAAGTAGCGCGTCCAATGGCCTCGCCCCCCGCCCTCCCCCCCCCGCTCTGAGCTGTGGGGCTTTCTGGTCCTAGCCTCCAAGCCTTGGGGTATCTGATCGAAGCCAAGGGCAATGACCCTTCCCCACCTGAGCCACGTGCTCAAACTCGATTCGGGTAGATGATCCGGTTAGTAAAAAACGATCCCCTGGCCAGAAATAGCTGCGGAATTCCGGCTTCTTAATCCTGTACATGGTTCTGGGTAGACCATTTTAGTACCAGGTTTTGATTGCGACTCACCTTCCCTTGGTGGCGAAGCCACCCACCCGGTTCCTTAGCTTTTTAGATCCTTTTGGTGTGCAGTGCTAGTTTCGATTTTAAGCCACTAAAAGTTATTCACTTTGAGCGGGGGATCTGAGGGCAGCCCACCTTCTAAGGGAGGCGGTGTTTTGGAGTGGAACCTGTGAGCAACCATCCGTTGGCGGATCCCTTGCCTGTGCTGACTGTACCGATCAAGCACCTGTTGATGAAGGCCTATGACCTATGAACTATTTGATAAACTACCTTTCCCAGCTGCTGGAATGTTTTGCGTCTGTGCTGTTGACCCCCATGGTATGCGGGACATGTTGTAAGCTTAGTTTCAAGGGTAAACAAAAGAACCAGGTTAGTGACCCAACCACTAACCTCATGGTTGTAAGTCCCCTTGTGGGGTACCAGGGGTAGTCAGCACCTAAGTCCCCAACAAAGTGTGGGCTGAATACTTACTGTGAGTTTCCCTTTATAATCACTCCATACAATGGTTTAAGGTACTCTCCTGTCCACTAACATGGAACCCCCAGAGGGTTCCTTTTGAAGGAACATAGTCTTCCAGGACCCCTCAGTCAGGTTCCATATTAATGGACAGGAGGGTCCCCATTGAAAAACAACTCCTTCATATTGCCCCAAACCTTAAAAGATATATTTTGCCCAATTGAAACATGGCTTTTTCCACCAAAATAAAGGGAAGCCACCATTTTCAAGCAATGTTCAGGTGTTTTTCATGTACGGATCCCTGTAGCCTTAAACCCGGTGGTTGCCAACTTGGGTTTCCCACATTAACCTCAGACCATCTTCGCACCCTCCAAACAATTTGGCGATCTTTCCCTTTGCTTTCAACCTCACACCCAAAACGGACAACCCGGGTGTGGGACTTAAGTACCCAAGAGAAGGGAGGGAGGGAGGAGCTTAAGATGGCAGCTTTGGGGGGGGTTAAAATGGCAGTGAAAGACACCCATTCCACCTCCTCAGACGCCCCGTTCCGCAGTCGCGCCGACGTCCGACGCACCGCAATCCGATTTTGAAGAAGCTGAGACCCCGGTGGTGGTGCTCCTCATCGTGCAGGGCTGGCCGCGTATCGAAGCGCAGGCGATGTTGGGGAAGTCGGGGAAGTCGGGGAAGTCGGGGGTCGGTCGGTGGGTCGGTGGGTCGGTGGGTCGGTTGGTCGGTTGGTCGGTTGGTCGGTTGGTCGGTTGGTCGGTTGGTTGGTAGTTTGGCTGGCTGGTTGGTTGGCTGGATATGATCATTTTGTTATTTATCATTTTCATCATTGTTGCCTTACAAGCTTTTTTGATGGTTCGTAAGCATTCCATACCTCCAACCCCCATATCTGGAAATACTGAAACGTGGCCTTTCCAAAACCTAGGGGCAAATCTGGGTTCTGCAAAGCAGGATGGGAGAAGAGGATCTAGTTCAGGGTGAATCCACACAAATTCATGTCTTGGAGGGTTTCTCGCTAAGCTTTTAGTTATGTCAAGAAAGGAATGGATGGACCCCCCTTGAATAAAGGGGGTCCAACTTGAGTTGTCAAACAGATCGGCCCTGGTATTTCCCAAGGGACCTCTAGGGGGAAAACACAAGGCATAAGCCAGGTTGGATTGTTTATATTCATAATTAGACAGCGATTATTTACACAGCCTCCGAAACGGCTGTTTGGTTTTCAAGGTGACCAGCGTTTGGTTGAAATTTGTAACCTACCCTGAAATCACCTCGTGAACCTCAAAATACTTTCAAGGGACAGCCCCTTCAAAAACGGGGTAGTGGGACCACTGGCAGAGTTCCATTTTAGGCTTAAACCTAGGGACAGGGGACATCAACCACTTGGTTTATTTTTACCTTGGGGCAATCAATCAACCCCGGCTGATTGATCGCCCCAAGGTAGACTTGAACCGACCGGGTAACCGACCCGGATCAAACTCCGATTCCAACAAATGCGGCTTCACTTCAGACGCGTTCCCCGGATGTGTCGTCAACGCCACCGATCCGGGACCTCGGGCGAACCGGAGGTCCCGGAACTTGCGGCCTTGCATCTGGAGCCCTCACTGCTGCCGGCAATCCTGGGGTTCTTTACCTACACCGTGGGCAAGGCGGGCGGGAAAAGGGCCCAAGATCGTCGTTCCCCAAACGAAGCGTTTGGGGAAAACGGGAATTGTAGATGCCTAGTGGTGGTTTTTTCAGCTCGTATACCCCATTAATCAGGTCACCCTAAATTGGTCTTTTGGAGTCGTGCGTTGGATTCGGATCTGAACCCCTGGTTCTTGGTAACGAAGCCCCTCCATTTCTCCACCAAACCACCGCTTCGGCTCCAAACCAAAGAACCCTTCGGCTCCAAGCCACCCTTTTCAGAGCGCAGCTACGCCAGGCTTTGGGGGTCGTTTGGGGGTCGTTCCGCGGGGGACGTTCCCATCGGACCGGGAAAAATCAAGTCGGCCTTGCGACCAGCCCTTGCGTTCGCCAACCCAACCTTAGACTTTCCAACACGAGGCTCCAACTTGTGGTTTGTTTAGGGCCCTCTTCAACCGCCAGGTTTTGAGACCCGTTCCCAAACACCGATTCCAGGGGTGTGTTTTGGGGTCGGGTCTTCCATTGAAAGCCCCAAGAGCCGGGTGGTGCGATAGGTCGAGAACGACTCATCGAGTTTCCGGGTGGGAATGAAACGGTTTTGGGGATTCCCGAAGAACGGAAACCATAGAAGACCGGTGATTCGGGCAGGTCACTGTCCTGAGTTCCTGCTGAGAACCAGCGAGTTTTGGGTTTGGATCATCCGGTTCCTTCGGCTTCTTCGGCGTTTTTGGGTTCGTTTGGCGGGTTGGGTTTCCGAATCTGATCCACTCAAAAATATTTACGTTCGCTTCTCCGCGGGAGAAAATGGACAGCCCGGTAGAAGTCGCTCCTGGACCTTGTTGGGCCCGTCCACTCGGGGAGCGAGCGCCCTGGAAGCCGAGAAAGGACGGAAGCCTTTCCAGGGCTGGAGGCATAGGTGGCCTTTTGATCGCTTAGTTTAGGAACAAATGGGTTCCACTGATTCAGACACGTTACTTTGGGTTCGTTTATTCAGAAAATCGATGGGTTCCACTGGTTTAGTTGTTTTTCTTCTTTTTTTTCCCCCTCGTTTGGTTAAACGTCGATGGTTTCCATTGGTCTAGATGTGTTTTGCCTATGGAGGGGCCTTTGATCCGTGTAGGTGGTGGCTGGCATTCTCAGCACCTGAGCCGAAGCTTCCGCCCGGCTTCCGCCGGGCGCGAGAGCGCGGGAGTCGCGCTGTTCGGAGGGCCCGGGAGTCGCGAGATGGAAAGGGCTTAGAAATCTAGGGCTTGAATCATTACCCAAAAGAAAGATTCGGTTCATGACCAACCAGGTTTAGAGAGTCATGGAGACTCTAGGTCTAAACAGGGGTTGATTCCTGGTCCATTCTTTTCAACCATCGTTCTTTTCAAAGACGGATCGCTGTTTTCTCTGGGGTTCTGATGGTTTTCTGGAAAGATTCGGATCCCTGGAAAGAATGGTTGGAAGTGTCTCCTAGAACCATCCAGGAGCCGCAAGTGAGAGGGTTCATCTAACTCACTTCCCGAGTTCCGTTTCGGACTTCAGTCACTTTTTGGGTTTGGAGCATTTTGGTAGACACCAAGTTTGGTTACTTTTTGGGGGCCATCCACTCGAAAAATGTGAGGTGGTGAGACGGTACCCTGCCGTACTGAGACTCCGGGAGTTCGCCAGTGGTTAGCTACTCCTTCATTTGCTTAATACTTTTTTGTTTTTGTTTTTGTGGGTCCAATGTGTGGTAACATTTCACTTGACTAAACTGATGAACTTCCATTTGCTGGATTGAATATTTTTGGTTTTCCTCTGTTGGGTTTAAAAGAAATTGATCACTACTGGACACATATTTTTTTCTCCTGGGGTCTTAACCAAATGGAAGTACTTGGTTGGCTCGCCACGGGCAAGTAATCCACCCAACCATGGCTATAACTTACAACCAAAGCAAAGCTAGCCATGTCACGCGCTTCCCAGACCTTCCTGCAGCCACATCTTTTCCGCAAAGGCTGCAGAGCCAGGGTTGTTCCTTTGGCTGAGACAACATAACCCAAGTGTTGAAGATTGGTTCCATCAAATCCTGTTTGCCTTTGACACAAGTGTATCTGGTGCCAGTTGGCAAAAACAAAAAACAGTGTTCCAGTAGTCTTTGTCGTGTGTTTGTTTTTCAGGGGAAGTAGAGAACCCCTGGTGCTGGTCGGTCCTTGGAACAACCCCTGCAGGGGCATTTGAAGTGCCAACGGAAAAGCGTGCCGCTCTTTGCTCTCAAGGCCTCTAACCATTGCCCACAGTTCTCGGGGTTGATTATTATTTTCAACCATTGTGCTTTTCAAAAACCGATCGCTGTTTCCCCTGCGTTTTTAAGATGGTTTCCTGAAAAAAATCGGATTGCTGGAAAGAATGGAAAGGGTGGATCCACAGATTCGAACCACACATCCAAACCGTTTTCTAACCTTGCTGTGGATGGACGGAATACATTTCGCACCACATTTCCGACCAGTTGGAATCCACGGGAAACCGTTGGTTGTTGGCTGCAGGGGAATCATGCCAGGTGGTGCAGGATTTCGTCCATCCACAGTAGGTCCCCCAGCTAGGTGCCCTTCTTACCGTTTCTTTCGTGGGAGAGGGGTCCCTTGCTAAAATCGACTACAGAAAAAGTTGGTGCCCTATATTCTAACCTCTCTGCTGGAGTACCCTGTTTCGGAGTCCAAAGAGCCCTTTTTTGATATAGCCCAAAATGGGTCCGAAAACGTCCAAACATCCGAATCGCTGACGATATTGGAGGGCAGATTTGGGTGCCTCACAACTTGCTGGTTGGATTGGCAGGGAATGAGAAATGGACCCCCGAGAAAAAAAACCATCCATCCGATTTGGTTTCCTAGGAAATCCCAACACGGTTCGTTCCCAAAACCCGGACTCGGTCATGACTCAGTCATTCCCTCCCTATGGCACCAGCAAGACAAATGACCCAATTGCCATGCCATGGTGTGGGGACCGTGGCAGGTTTTTTGACCTGGAGATCCAGGTTTACTCACTTCCTGAGTTCATGGCGACTTTGGTCACCTTTTTGGGAAGACACTTTTAGTGGCAAGCACTATTTTTTGGATTTTTTTGGGCCAGTCCACTCAAGAAGTGAGTTTAAGGTTGCGACAAAGGACAGTCTTGTGGATGGACAAAATCCTCGCCGATCAGCGCCAGACCCTATCAAGACTGGGAGACACTAGCTACATGCTTTGTCATCGGTAGCGTTCCATTGTGTTTCAGTGTTGACACCTGTCTTTTTGTAGCATGATCAGCTCGGTGATATCAAGCGTTCCATGGGGATTGTTGCCGAGGCGTGACTTAGGAGTGACTTCTTGGAATCGGCGTTTACATGGGGGAACACATGGCCACACAGATAAAGGAGTGACTTAGGCATGACTTTGTCGTTTGCTTGTACCAACTGGTGCAGGAGTTTGTCCATCCACGGAATTGCAAAGGCTGTCCTAGGGAAAGTACCCTATTTTGTTCTTATACTACCTGGTTGGCCATGTAACATGGGCCCGCAAAGGGACGGGATTCACTTTGAGCTATGCCAATCTTGCGCCCGTTGGCCAAAACAGAAGCCATTGGCCCCTTTAAAAGATAGGAGAGGTGGCTTCCTTTGCTGGCACCAATTGTAGGTAGGCCTGGGTTTGAAAATGCCTTCTACATGTTGGTGAAAAGGTTATCCACCCCATAATGTTGAGAACTCTAGCCGTTTCCCTACTGGATTCCTAATCTCTTCAATCAGCCGACAAGAAATGAGTAGTGTCCTAGCAGCAACTCTTGGTTGGATACTCCGGGACGAATCGCTAATTGGTTTGTAAGCCTGGTTATAAGCCCCGAAATTGGTTGTACATTCCCTTCCCTAGGAGCCCCAAGACCTCATAGGGCCGTGGGTCAAAACCAATGGTACCATTTTGGTTGGTAGGTGAATTCACCACCCATTTTAGGACCTATTTTGGTGGTTGGATTGGGATGTTCACTGGGGGCCAACCGATTTGGATTTTGACCCACCGCCAATGAAGGCTTTCTGGAACAGAGAGCGCTAGGCCCAGCGGCTAGGGCTAACTGTTTAGCCCCCAAGCCTAAGGGTGAAAGGGGCCCCCCCTTTGACCATTCCACAGACCAAGAATTCTGCACCCTCGCGAAAGGTTGTAAGTCGACTTGAATGCTAGCTTGGATTCTTGGCCTTCGACTTTATGTTAAATGACTATGTCCAGCCTCACCTGCAAAAAGTGAAGCTTTGTTGGTGGGTAGAAGTCAAGCAGAATGACCCCCAAAGATGTTGGCTTCGAACCCGTGCCTGTTCGAAGTTGCAAAGAGATCGGTACGCCATCGGCTTGCGCGGCGGCTTGCCAGCGATCCGAAGATTTTGAGAGAAATCTGCCTGTCGCAGAAACGTTTGCCGGGGGTGGCTTTCTGGATGGTCTTTCCCGGGGAAGCCTACTATGGTATCTGCTCGCATGCCTCGCAGAAACGTTTTTTTGTTGGTTCCTTTTGGATGGTTTTGCCCAGGGAAGCCTACTAGAATTAGTGGTAAGTGAAAGCACTGGGTTGGGTAGACTTGGGTTTGTTTGGTTCCCATTTCACCAACGTGACCCCCTGAATTAAGCGGTAGGCTTTGCAGGACAACCAAGCAGTTTCTGACTTTAAGCCCAACAAAACCACAATTATGACGTGTTGTTTGAGTTCCGCTTGTCACTTGGGTTTAATGACCCCCGCCCCCCTTTTTTAAGGCCCCTCTCTTTTCGACACATACCTTGTATAATTTTTCCTGGTGAATGAACCCAGGACATGACTAGGAGAAAATCACCATTCGGACCCCTTCCCGCCCCCCCCCCAAAAACAATAATAATAACAAGTTCACCCAAAAATAGACATATGCATATATACATATATTATGTATATATATATATGTATATGTATACACACCCAGAAAGCAGGAGGTTCGGGGCAAATTCCGCCCACGCGCTGTACTTGGGGGACTTTGCTACGTCAAAGCGAAGGTTTCTGCCGTAAGGTCCCCGATTTTCGGACTGTGAACTACTTTCCCATAATAGGGCTCCTCAGAAGATCTCCATTTTGCAACCACTTGAAACATGTTGCTTTTTCAACACCAAAATAAAGTGGGAAACCACCATTTACAAGGCAATGTTCAGGTGTATAATGCAAGGATCCCTGCAAAATGGGTTTGGTCTCCCTCCCTTTCCTGTTTGGTGGTTTGAAGAGGGCAACCAAACGCAAATTGCGGGCATTGCAATTTTGGGAGAGCTGTGCATAGTTGCGAATCCATCTTGCACCACCGTTCAGACACTCAGAAACCCAACGGAACGGTTCGATTTCCCAACGCAAGTACCAGCAAACAATGGTTCAACCATGGTTTCACAGTGGTGCAGGGTTTTGTCCATCAACAGTATCCAATCGGATGTTCAATTTTGGGCAGGGGATCAAAATAGGTGTTCCTGCGACTAGCATTTGTGGTCGCCATTCAACGTCTCACCCCGCACAAGGAGAAACAGTGTGCCACGCGCCCTTCCATGTTGCCGCCAACGCCGAATGCTCATAGGCGTCCTTTTTGTTTTTGTCCTTTTTGCTTGTTTTTGGTTGTTTTTGGTTGTTCCTGGTTTACCTGGTGGTTGAAGCATCTAGAAGGACGCCTATGCTACTTAGGTCCCGCAGTAGTGCTCTTCTCTTCCCTTTTTTGGGGAGGGTTCCCCCACTGAAATAGACTACGGAAAAAAAAGAAGTTGGTATCCTTATTCTAACCTCTCTACTGAAAAACCTAGCTACTGAAATTCACCCCACTGATTCAAGTGGTCGAAAACCGTCTTGTTGGTGGGTCCCCGGATTTTCCCAAGAGAGCCAGCAGGGAACCCTGGCCCGAAGCCCCCGATTTTTGGTCCAAATCGCGAAACTTGTCTTTTTGTGGGGGGGCCTTTCAACTGCCCTTCAAACCAGCCTTGAAAAATGTACGCCACCGCCCAAGGACGCCAAAGCCAACCGCACATCAAACCACGGCTGGTTTCGAATCGCCATACTCGCAAAAGACACGGGTGGAATGATTCTAAGAAACCAGCAGAAAATTATACAGTTGAAGTTTTTTTGTGTTTGTCTGGCCCATTCCTTTCCTGTAGAATTTCCTGTAGCTGGTTT